TGACAATGTTTAAAAAAACAAGCTAATTCAAACTAATTCACTGTTAACAGTGAATTAGTTTGAATATAACATAACATGTTGTAACAATAACATGTTATTGATGGACACAATTTACAAAAACATATTGCACAAAGTGGAACAGCTGGAAGATTTTGGAAAACAGAGAGTGACCAAAATGGAACTCTTCTTTTGGCAGTGGTATTCCATAGATTTAGTTTCAAGATATCTCAGAGGTTTTCCACAATTCTTATTTTTCAGGGTTAAACAATATTCTCAGTGTTACATAGCATGACTCAAGCTCATGTTGAACCTTATTTTCTTTGTTTTTCTTTTTTAGGTAGCAGAGAAATGAGAACAACCAAATGACACAGAGTAACTGTCAAGCCAGTCGGGATTCCAACCATCCAAACAATCCAAACAACAACAATGCTAGATATATGTGCTGCTTTCTTTAGAGTGAGTTAGCATTAGCAATTACAAGTCTGCAACGTAACTTAACTAACACCACCTCACAATTTATTATTATTAAAAGTCTACAAAACAGTTAAATAAAGTATTTTCTGTTATTGTATATGTCATGCTTGTTATGGTGTTTTTAGACATCTTTGCTTTCCAGTGCTTTCCAAATGTGCAGTCATTTTTTTCATTATTCATCATTTTTTTTTCATTATTTTATTTCCCCCACCCTGGGGGAGCGCTCCCATGGGGTGGAAGTGGTGGGAATGTGCAGGCAGTACTTGGCTGCTGATGCTAGTTTAGGATAGTGGTCCCTGTTCTGTTACCACCATCGGTGGTGGCGGCAGCGGTGGCGCAACCATTCGTGTTTACTTCCGTAAACACTGAGCACGGTCGCTGCGTGTGACGTCATGTCCTCTTCTGTGCAATTTTAGGTTGTATGAAGTTCACACAGCAGATCACATACAAGTCGCATTTAATTGGAAATGTGAATGAACTCGCAAAAAAATCGGATTTCACTAAAAAATTCAAATTGAGAATTAATTATGTGAAGGCGAGGGATCAGTTGACGAAGAGCGAGCGAGTGAATTCCACAAAGTCGAAGGCTGACGGCAGTCTGAACGTAGCCAATCTGTGGAATTGTTAAGTCAGATAACACACCGTTATCCTTATTTGTGACATAAAATGTCATGTCAGAGTCGGAATCCAAGGCTGTCTGTATGTTAAGGCTATTTTTTATGGGTTCTGTTCGTTTTTCCTAAAAACCTGCCGGATAGCAAGGTTTTCGGATTGTTAAGGGTCAGATTATCCAGTCACGACTGTATTTCGTCACATTGTTTGGCCTTACTCGTGTGCAGAAAGTGAAACAACTTTAATTTGAGCAGCTTTTTAGCTATAATACACCTATCTATAAAATAATCCATACTAGTGAGTTTCAGGCTACAAGAAGAACATTAGTTTCATGTCTTAATCTGAGAAAGGTCTCCTCATCACTCCACACAGATCTATTGTTGTCTTTTGCTGCCATTTTCCTTCTCTTCTGCGGATGTTTAAGTCATATCTTTCACTGATACGCTGTTTAATTTTCAATTTTTTTATAAACTTTTCTACCTCAGGCAAAAAAAAAAAGTCTGTACATTTTCAAAATAGAACTGTTCTGATAGTGTACTCATATATTGAAGCATTTTATAGCCACTAGTTTCAATTATTTCAGCTTCATTTCTCTTAATCTACGGGACAGACCTTGTATATTCCCCAACACACACTATTCCTAACATAACTCATCTCTCTTAAAACTTTACTGGAATCCATCTGCTTGTTCCAGAATTTTATCCATCCATTATCAGGGCTCCAGACTAACTTTTTCACTGGTACCACCGGTGTGACCAACTTTCTCATTTAATCACACTTCAGGGAAAACATATGACTTGCTAAATATCTTCTTATCAACAGACACTATAATGTACCGATGTTCCCTAAACGCCCCACATTGCAGGCTGCGTTAGATGCTGCTTGGTGGCTATGCTGTGCCGTTTTTCTCGACATGAAATACCACAGTCCACCAAAGCCATAAAAGTACTGCATTCACCACTGTGGTTAACACAGTAGCTGCCTGTACTGGTTACAGCGACACTAATACAGCTTAGTGATCGTCATGCACCTGCACCAATGCCACCACTTGAAATTTCATCTCTCAAAAAAAGGTCACAAATGTCTGGAGCCTTGATTATTTATACACCACTTGGTCCTCACTGGGGTCACAAAGGTGTGTGCCTATCAGGACACCTGGACAGGTCACCAGTCCATTGCAGAGCTACACTTAGAGACAGACAACCAAGCACACTCACATTCACACCTACGGACAATTTAGAATCAATGTGTTTTTGGAATGTGGGAGGAAGCCGGAAAACCCAGAGAGAACTCATGCTGCACAGGGAGAACATGCAAACTCCACGCAGAAAGATCCCAGGCATCCTAACTGAGACGCAAACCAAGGATCTTCGAGCTGTGAGGCGATGGTGTTAACCACCAACCCACATTGCAGTCCTCCACCATTTCAGGTTACACTTGTACACTGATTGCAGTTTGGTATTATCTGAAACTCTTCATACTACTGCAAGTTTCTGCATCGCTACAAAACACAATTTTTCTCTCTGACTGTCTGACAAACAGACAGAGACAGGATGAATTCATGTGTAGAAATAAACAACAACAGCTGATCCATTTATATAGAAATATCTAATCAACACACACACAGCATGCTGACAGGCTGGCTGTGTGTACGTGTGTGTGCGTTTGTATGTGTGTGTGTTAATCTCTTCACACTGAGAGACTCTAATAACCCCCCACGGGCCGAACCAACTGCTCTCTACTACTGCCAACACACACACAAACATGCGCGCGCACACACACACACACACAGAGGGCTGGCTTAATGACATTAGCTTGGATGAAATACAGCAAAACAGATTGGCTTCACACACACACATTGAATTTACACCTTCATCTTGCTTCACTAACCAGTTCTGTCTGAATGGATTTCAACCAAAAATCTAACACACAACAGGACATTACCAAAATATTACCACAACATCACCACAATGAAACCAAAACATTACTACAACACGAACAAATCTGAGATTGTTAACCTCCAAAGGATTCATCAGACTGCCGATTCCAGACTGGAAGAGGCTCATTTTTAGCACCAATATGCACTTTTACTCAGACTTAATAAGAATTTAAATTTGCAAGTTTGCTTTTAGCAGGCTGGCGATGTAGCTGAGGTACAGTATGAGAGATGTTGTTGTCCTCTACTGCTCCTTCAGTCAGACCAGTGCAGAAAATAATGTTAGCAGGATGGTAAAATGGCAGAGTTCATCTTCAATTACTGTGAGTCTTCAGGTGCATTTTGGATTTAATAACTTGACAATTAGCTTTGCAAAATGAAGGTGAAGTATTTTGACCAATCAGAAATAGTGGGCAAACCCAACTGTTAAGAGTGCAAACCACAGAGACAAAAAGGTCCCCGGCATTGCTTCATTCATTCCCCTGTTCTCTTTCCCAACATTTCCAGTCACAAACCAGTACAAATATCCAATAAAGGCAGCATGCCCGAAGAAAATCTTTAAACTCCTGCACTCGTACGAGGAGCCAGACAATAAATCCAAACACTGCAAAGTGGCCAAGCTCTGATCTGGTGAAGAAAATCACTCTCTCCGTGGTCTCTAGCTGCAAAAGTTAATTAACTGATGTGAAAAACCCAGAAGGTCATTTGCTGATATTAGAATCCCCAAAGTGCATTCATCCAGAGAAAAAAAACTGAAGACCTTATCTCACATTATGACTGACTAACCCATAATTATGAGTGAGCTTAACGTGGAATCAGTCGTTGTTATACTTGAAGGGACAAAGCGATCGCACTACCTGGTTTAATAAAATATATAGAGTGCCATGGATGAGTCCTGTGATATATTTGTGTTCATTTTTGGAAAATGGAGTATGCCAAATCAATTCTATTCAGTTGTATTTATATAGCGTCATCCCAGGGCACTTTACATAGTAGAGTCATATATAAAGAAAAACCCAAGAAATTCAACGATTCCCTTTGACCAAGTGCTTTAGCAACAGGCAATCAGCTATTCATAGTTTCTTATTGCTATGTGTGATTGAATATATAGCCAACTAACACTAGATTACTATGATCCTGAAGAAATCTTACAAACCTGATAGTTTTTTGGCAAGTTGTGAGGTGTTCCATGTCACGCCGTCTTAGTTTTCTGTGTACTATCAATAACAGTATTGCAATTATGCCTGTGAGCTGTTAATACCTCATTCGCTGTAGTTTGTTTTCCAAAGTGTAAACACATATAGGATGACAAACTCTGCTTGTGTTGCAGGACACACTGCAGCTGTGTCATTTTTCTGATGTCGAGGTGTAATTCTAAAATATTAAGTCATAATTAGGAGATATAGTCTCCAAACTTTTTGCCTTTTTGTGAATGTAACACACTTCGGTGCCATCTGAATAAAAACATATATGGCTCACTAATCACTGTAAAAGAATCCAAATAATTTTTTTAAATGCAGATTGTTGGTTACAGTCCACATTCAACCACTTGAACTCATTTTATCTCCAAACACTTACTCAGGCAATCGCACAAATGCAAGATTATGTTTTATCTGAACATTTTTTAAACTGCATCTTTCAGTTTTACAAGACAGAAAGTTTCAGTTCAGTTTGGCAAAAGGACATCATCTGATTAACTTACCTACCACCATTTAGGAGCTGCACACAGCATTTACCTAAGCTTTTCTGTGGGAGGAATCTGAATTATCTCAATAATTGGCTCTGTGTGTGTGTGTGTGTGTGTGTGCGTGTGTGTGTGTGTGTGTGTGTGTGTGTAGGTGTGTGTGTGTGTGTCTGTCCAGATGTCTCAGTTTCAGGTGGTCTCAACAAGACAGAACTTCTCCATTACAACGCCAGCTGCCTCAAAACCACCAGGTCCACTGATCGCCATGACAGCCTCGTCACCACGGTAACTAACCTGTGGGGGTCTCCGGGATGATGGGGGTCCAGGTCAGCCTGGTTCGCGTGAGCAAGACGTCGTGACTCTTCTTGCCCAGTTTGAAGATCCCACGCAGCACAACACACTCACTGCCGCACAAAAACAGAGCAATCAGAGGTCATGAACATATATTTATCAATAATCAGTCAGTAGGCCATAGTGATGATTAAGGCAGCAAGTAAATATTACTTATTACAGATTAAACTACCAATTATGTACTCAATAAAGCATTTACTTGCTGTATATGCTAACTGTTAGAAACTTTACCATAGTGCTAAAGGATGTAATAAAATGACAATTTATTTAACCAACAGTTCAAAATCCAAAGATATTTGGCAAACAATCAAATGTGTCACAGAAAACCTTTAAATTCTTGCATTTGAGACAAACAAGTATTTGGTGTTTTGCTTTAAAAAATGACTAAAACAGGTAAATAACGATCAAAACGGTTAATAAATTATTTTCTGTCATACGATGAATCGACCAATCGTTGCAGCTCTACTGATTATGTCTGAGAATTAATCAAAATGTTATTGAAATCAGAACACGGACAAGTGCGATGTGCCACAAAATGCCATTCTATATAAAGCATTTTGTTGCTGCACAGATGCCCCGACCTCTAAATCATATTCTCCAAGCGTAGGGGAAGATGCTTCTTTTGTACACACCATAGCAAAAGAGAAAAAAATCACATCATTTTTAGAAATGTGGAAAAGAAATGTAAAAATGACAATTCCCACTATAATCATGACTCACAGTCACAAAATCTGTCAAAATAATTGCAGTATGACTTCTTTTGTGCCCATCTTTCAGCCCAACTACTGTTGTTACTGCACATCTCTGAAAGTGTTCCTGTTTTCTGTTCTCTGAGGTCAAACTGTCGGACTTCTCTCATACTTACAGACAGAACATTTAATTTGGGGCCCCAAATTCAGCTCAATTTAAAAAAACACATCCATCCATATATATTGTTCTGTCTCATACTGTTAAAAGTTTATCTCAATAATCTTGGAGCACCTCGAAAGCTACATTATGCAAAAGTACAGCAATGCTAGAAGCTAGACACCAACATGCATCATGCCATGCTAACATGTTGATTAGATTTTATTGATCCCAGGGGGGATTTTTTTTTTTGGACTGTACTGTACATCACCTTTACACACATCATCACACAAAAATGACAAAAGTACAGGAGGTATAACATAACAGCGACTGGCAGAACAACATGAAAGTATGACATGCAGTTGCCATAACCGGTCACCATGTGTAGGCCTGTTGTGGCCCAGGGATCAGGCTGGAAGGTGCAATGTTTGGTCAAGTATGTTAAGATTTGTTTATTAGCACATTAGCATAGGAATGTCATTATATTTTGCCAAAGAACTGGACAAACTGGAGTTTTGGCTGTATGATGGTGCTAAAGGAAACATCAGAGAGTTACCAAAGTAAGTTCTTGCTGAGGGGTGCATGAGATGGAACAACACATTTTTGTCCAACATAACATGAAATCAAAGTGCATCCAACACCCTGTTCAGTATCTAACCAAAGCTAAATTCACCTCACTGCTCACAGAACACTCTGCAAGGTAACAGTCAAGCTGGTGATGATTGAACTAACTTCAGCATGGTTTTTGAAAGGCAGTGCAGCAGTGAGTTTTTTTTCTACTAACTACAACTGCACTACCAGCTTTCTCAAAAGGGTCTCTTTTTTCCTGCCAATGTAACATGTTTCTCTGAATAGTTACTGCAACATAAACACAATGTAATCAATCAATCAATCATTATCCCCGCTGCGTTGAATCAGATAGACTTTGATGCAACTCAACAGTTTTCTCAGCACTTAAACAAGTGGCTTCACATGTGAAGGACTGTCTCTGCTGTTTTTTTTTTCTGAAACTTAATATAATGTTGAAAAAAATACGAAAATGGAGGCCCTTCTTATTTAATTAGCGGTGTTGTTGACTCTCCTGCTTGGAAGTTGAAGAGTAGGGCATTGAAAACTAAAAGTTTAGATTTGCTTTATTAAAAATACAGGCCACAAAGTAGGAGCTCAACACCATACATTTGTAAAAAAAATTGTAATACACTGCATGTCCACCTTTATTTTAGATGTTCGATTCAATCCACCTTTGTGTGGAGGATATTAGTGGTGCACACAATTCTGGAGCGATGTTCTGCCATTCTTCAGAGACATTTTTTTTTCAGCTGCTCTTTGCTGTGCTTTGAAATACCCCAAAAGTGTTCTATTGGATTCAAGTCAAACAACTTACACGGCCAGGTCATTGTTTTTTCTTGGTTTTCATTGTCTTTTTTTCTTTTGTAGAAGAATTTTGGCAGTGTGTTTTGATCGTTATCATGCCGAAAGCCTCTGCAAACTAGGACTCATCTTGTCAGCCAGTGTTCTGGTATATCCACAGGCATTCGTGGTGCCATCTGTATATATCTTCTCCCCAACACCTTTTGCACTCACACACCCCTATAACATCACACTCGCCCCGCTGTGCTTCACTGTCAGGACTATGCATTCACTGCAGTAGCCCACAGGTTCACACCAAACCTGCTGGACCCCATCTGAGCTGAACAAAATTATCTTGGTCTCTTCTGAGAAAAGAATGCACTCTGATATTTGTCTGGCTTCTTTCCATGTACTTTAAAAATGATACATTTTGCAGTTATGCACTGAACATGAGCAGGGATGTTTTTGTTGGACACCATCCAAAGAGGTTGATATTAAACGGTTTTTCACATTTAGCGCTCACAGATACTCCAATTTCCATTATTAACCCCTTTGTTAAGTCTAAAGCACATGTCAATCTGTTTTCAGAGCAAGACAGTACAAGAGGAACACTGTCCAGGGGGGTTTCTAGAAAAAAATTGTATGAGGGCGCACACCGTGTCGGGGAAGCGAAACTACCGAGGGGGGTTTGGTGCGGAATGGGGGGGACCCTTCTCCAGGAGCTGCGCCTGGATGACGGACGCTTCCAGCGCTGTTTCCGGCTGATCCGGACCCACTTTGACTACCTGTTGGAGAGGATCGGTATCGCGTTTCGCGACACGCGCGTTTAGCGCGGCTAGAATCATTCATTCGTGGGAATAATTCGCTCAATTCGCGTCAATCGCGCCGCGCTAATCGCGCGAGTCGCCTCGGGACGTTTACTCGCGTCTAATCGCGTTTTCACATTGACTTTACATGTAAATCATTTGCGCGAATGATTTTTGCGCGCCTCTGGTGAACACAGGGTTCAATAGGCATTTTGGCAAGAGGGCGCAAGCCGGGAGTATGAGGGCGCAGGGCCCTGTAACATTGTTTAGACAAACCTCTGCTGTCCATGGTTTCATTTCAGGAGCACAATCAGTGCAGCTCTGATTAGTGGTACTAGTCTTGTTCTATGGTTCCTGATTACTGCTGCAACTGTGTTTCATATGATGTTTACTTGGTCATCAATCTTTCTGGACCCTTCTACATCTTTGTGAACTCTCATGATCAGACTTTTCAGTTAATCTGACATTACGTTTCCATGTGGAGCCATGATGTAGACATGTAGATAGTTACAGCCCATAGATCCAAACCTGAGAAAGTTCTTTTGTTGTCCACAGCTCATTTTATAACTGTGTTCATACAGTTAGGCTGACAGGAAATCACACTCAATTTACATACTCAATTTTTGTTTCAGCAATCGGAGGTTTTCAAACTTGTGTGTCTGTGATCACAGCCGTATTCACGTTAGTTACAGTCAATTTCTACTCAGGCACCTGTGTTTTCAATATAGTATTTGTCTTCGATTGATCATAAGACAAAAACTTCCTCTGACAACTTAGAAATAATAATAAAATTGAGACGTGATGCTGTTTTGAAATTGTACTGATACTGCACAGAGCTGTACACACTTCTGTAACTGTTTACACTCTGTTAAGAATTCAGTTTTACTTTGTGAAGTTCTGACTGCAGGCTTTGACTTTCAAAGAGCTTTTTGAAGTGACAGATGTAGACTGTGTAATTCAGCTGTTTCTCTCGTCCGGACTGTCCGTTTGTTTATGTACTACTCTCATATCTGTGTGGTTCTGTGTAGAACCTGGAGCAGCAGAACCTGAGCAGAACCACTCACCTCTGCTCCTCCACCTCCACCTCCACCTGCTCCTCATGTTCCTGCTTCTCCTTCTTCTTCTTCTTCCCGCTCCGCTGCTCTTTCTTCTTCTTCTTCTTCTTCGTGTTGTCTCTCTGCTCCTCCTGCAGCTCCTCCTCAGGCTCCGACATGTTTACTCACTCGAACAAACAAACTAACTAAGTAACGAATAAACAAACAAACAATCTCGCCGATTATGAGTTTCTTCCTCTCTGATAAACATGCAGTAAGCTGATCACGGTGTATTTCCGGGGTCCCGTCGCTATGGAGACAGGTGGCGGCTTTACTCGCGGCTCGAGCACGAGGCAGATTCACCGGCGTTTCATCAACAAGCGTGCGCGTTCCGGCACCCAACCCAGCGGGAGCGCGCAGACTGTGAGTGAACTTCGGTGGGTTTATTGCGTCACTAGATCAGTTCAAATTCTGATTAATGTTATTGATAATAATGATAACTTTATTGATATAGGACCTTCCAAAAACAAGCTTGCAACGTGTTTTACAAGAAAAACAAATACTGCAAGTTAAATAAGGTTCAAAACGTAAAATATCACGTTAAAATAAGCTGTGATTGATTAAGCCAGGTTTTTAGGAAGTAACACACTACAGCTGCTCAAGTAAAGCACTTCAGTTAATTTTACTTTAAGAATGCACGTTTTATGATTATTTTTTAGATCATTTGAGACTACAATTTGGTTGTGTTATAGGGAAACTTACCCTGTTTTCATTGCAAAAATAAAGAAAACACTTTCAAAAACTATATTCTGTTTGTCCCAGGATACAAACATAGTATTTTGCTGATTTGCCTAACATAAGTCAACTTTGAAACTGGAAACATTCATGTTTAAATCTGTGATTGGGTTCATGTTCATTCTTAGTACAATGTAATATGCTTTCCTACACTGTAAAAAAAAGAATTAAATTAAAAATCTAGAAAAATTTGGCAGCAAGGGTGCCAGAAAGATATATTAAAATAAACAATGGAATACTGTAAAATTCTGAACTTTAAAAACATAAAGAAATTTTACAGTTAACATGCAAATGAATACCTTTGTATGTGATTTTGCTTGTTATTAATATTAATTTATCAAAACAGGGGAAAATAACATTAAATTGTTCAAAACACTTAAGAATTTTTTTTACAGTATAGTACAGTAGAACCAGTGGAGGTGTTAGTGGATAAAATGGACACTTTGGAGTTCATTGTGTCTCTTCTGTCGAGTCCACTGACCAAACACGAGCTCCTCCTTCATGCTTTACAGTGTGTTTGAAGTCAGTTTAACCTCCTAATTAGGTGAGTTTCACCACTCAGTTACCTGCAAACAGAGCATGAAGCATCACCACTGTCGCTATGGCTACCTGCAGCTTAATTTACCTTGATAGTTGAAGGTGTCCTCCTATATTACTTCACTGACTCCTGGCAGCCAATCAGAGATGAGGGAGGCTGTGGTGTAAATACCATATTATGAGCTACAGCTCAAACACACACGCAGCGTGAGTGTCGCTGACAGATGGCTGAGTTTAAGCTGCATTAATCAGTGTTATGATCAGCCAACAGACTGAAACACAAAACTGCTATCACAAAGAATACCGCTAATACAAGTATTACCACTGCGAATACTGCAGCTGCTGTAAGTAGAGTGTGATGGGATGTTAGAATTTGCAGTTTTACTCAGTTTTGCAAGCTTTTTTCTGACTAGGATTTTCTCCAGAGCTGCACATTTGTCTTACTTGTTTCTGATATTCATTTAGAAGTAGCTTTTCTGGACATCCTGATAAATATATACTACAAAAACATCCATGTTTCAGCTCCAGCTCAGGACCTGTGCAGCAAGTTGTCCCCATTCGCTTGTTATCTTTTTACTATTACTACTACTGTCTATTAAATCCAAAAATACCCCCAAAAAATTAACTAAAAAAAAGTAGCTCTGTTACCATTTTGGCTAAATGCTTAATATTTTTTGCTCTTGACATGTTGTGAGTGTTTTTGCCTCAACACAATATTCTGGAAATAGTTTCTGCACCGTTTGAACAAGGATGAATCTCTGTGCTGCAGCCCGACTTTCTCTCATTATTATTCCACTTTAACAGGGAGGCTAAATGGTGGTATATGGCCACCATATTGTCCCTGTTGACTTACACACACATACGCTCGCACTAACACACACGCATGCACACACACACACAGCAGGACAGCAGTGTGTGTGTGTGTGTGCGGAGGGGGGGCTCTCATGCATAAACGAGATCATTTTCATAAATTAAAATCTTGCCTGCAGAACGAACATCTGTGCCCTTCACACACACACACACGCACGCATGCACACATACACACATACACACATACACACAGTAATCCTGGTTTTGTCCTTCAGTCAGTGTGATAATGTTGTTAACAGCGTTCTCTCTGTAAGGAGATATACGTTTTCTCAGTATCATACTTGGAGCCTAAACATCGTTGTGACTTTCTTGAGGGATCAGGATTTGGTTTTGTGTGAAACTTTCATGGTTGTCTGCACATGTGTGAGCTGCTCATTGCATTTAAAAAATAAATAAATTCATTCATTCATTCATTTTCTTGATTAATTGCTTAATTATCTGGTCTGCAAAATGTCAAAACAGTTTTTAAAAAATGCCTTTGTCTTAAGGCGTCTTGTCTAAAATGGAAAAATATTTGATTTACGATCACAGAAAACTAAAAAGATCAGAAATTCTTTATTTGTAAAACAAAACAGGAAGCAATGACTTTTTGTCAGTAGCTGCTTCCAATTATATTTGTTGTATATTTCTTTTGTATTTATATTTCTTTCACAATGACATATTTGGAGCTCTATTTGACTGACACGACTACAAAATGGCGGGGGGCGGGGGTGGGGGGGAGGAATGGTAGACACTGATGATATGTTTTTGATTTGAGTGTTAAGATTTCTGTGCAAGGCTTTCATGTGTAAATGCTAAACTTGACTAAACTGGGCCAAAGACACTGAATAAAACTGCAGTAAGTGGACTAAACACAGGTGTTATGTTGTGTCTTTGCAGATGAACAGAGTCTCTCAGTCGAATCACATTGATCCTTTTAATAAAAGGCCTTTATAAACATCTATCTTATAAAATATGAACAAGAGTCACATGAAATGTTAACAGAACGCTACAGGAACATTATAAAAAGCAAAAAGTAAAAACCACATGAACAACATGAACACTTCAACCCAACACCAGCTCAGTGCCGGCCCAACGTCACCTCACACACTGACCAAAAATAGAGAAATCTTTATTCTTTCAACATTTGGAATTATCCGCTGAGCGTCGCTCAGGTTTTAACAAAATTGCATAGTTTCCTCCAGATTATTGCTCAATGATTATTGATTATTTTTAAGTGATAATATGGATAATAACGAGACATTCAGAGAGCGTCTCCTGCAGGATGAAGCGCTACAAAGAAGGTTACATCATCGGTGTGACGTCTTCATTGACGACATCACCATCGTCAGGAAGAGTCGCTGACGCAGACAGAAAGAAGAAAAGTGAGGACAGACAGAAAGACAGCTATGAAAGGTTAGAAGTACACTGGACTTTCTGTCTCTCCGAATAACGGTCCCTCTGTCTTCATCAGTCTCTCAGTCTGTCGTTCTCCTCTTCCTCAGGAGTCGTGGAAGATGGCGTTCAGCTGGGCGTTCATCAGCCGCTCGTGGTGCGAGTGTCCATCAAAGCCCATCAGCCCGTCCACCTGCATGTCAGCACACCGTGGGTTGGACCCCCCGTTGCCGTAGATGGCAGTGTGTCCCCCAGCTCCTCCTCCTCCGTAGTGCACACTGAAGGAGAAGCTCTTGTCGTACTCGGCTGCAGCCACGGCCTCGTGTTTGAAGGATGAGGAGAAGTTCCCGTTGATGCTGAGAGGTGGGCTGAGCGGCGGGTCGAACGCTGGGCCGTCCGACACCAGGACGCCGTCAAAGAAGGGCTCCAGTGGGCCGTAGGGCTGACCTTTCACCTGGTGGAAGATGTGGGAGGGGTCCATGGTGCCGTAGGGGGGGCTGGGCAGGCCGGCTGTCAACCCGGGGCTCTGGTAGGAGAAGTGTCCGGGGTAGGCGGCGGCGCCAGCGGGCGGAAGGTGAGCTGGCAGATCGGGCGTCTGCTCTGGCAGGAAGGTCCGAGGATTTAGCTGCAGGCAGCCTGCAACCAGGTTAGTGGTCGGCTGAGACAGACCTAGAAAACAGAGAGACATCATCACTCACCATGAATCAATACTTATAATACCAGTCAATACCAAATATCAACAGCTGTTAGTACCTGTTAATAAATATAAATACAATTTAATTATTATCACAGTAGATGTTAATAAACACAAATTTATTTAAAGAAAATAATACAATACATAATAAAGTAATGTTAAAGTTTGTATGTTAATAAATATTAATATCAATTAATCCAAACTGACACATGCTTACTACTACATAATTTAATATAATAATAAATGAATATACGTTTAATATATGATTAATGTATAATGATGTTTATAAATTAATATTAATTCTTGATAATTTATCAGTAACGTTCTTCATAATTTTAATATTGCATGTGTGGGTTGTATATGTCGACAAGTCAAACACTGCGCCGACTAACGGCTTCACTCTGGAGTCTGCACTAAATCACAATAAATGATTCAGTTTCATTATGTTCTCATATCAAGAGTCATCCGTAAAAAGTTTCAACATCTTCGGAAATCTCTGAGTTACCAAGTGGAACAAATGAAATCGCTGATCGAACACTTACAATCCAACACGAGGAAAACAAATCATGATTCCGAATTTGATTCCAAAAGTCTCATCAAAAGGCCATAAAAAAACAAAATAGCAAAATTTGGATTATTTTAATATATATCCTGATACGTGAGACAAAAGATAAAGGGAAAAATCTGTATCACCACATGTCGGTACCATGAATGAAGATAGAAGTTTGCTTCTGTCACCAGCCCTGACAGCAGCAAGTCTTATTATATGCGAGTTGAACGCTGGTTTCATGAGCCGAACCAACATGAGCTGAAGGTGGCACATTAAAACCTCGAGCTCAGTAAACACACTCAGTTGTGACATAAAAAAGCTAAATATTTCATTCCTTTTTGGAAACTGGTTTATTCAGAAATGTCTGACCATCACACACATGTAATCCATGTGAAGTGGGCCTTTAAAATGGGAATTTTTTAAAAGACTTCATTTAGATTACACTAAATAAAAGTGGCCTTGCAGCAAGAAGGTCGCCGATTCGCGTCCCAGTGGGGACACCAGGATCCTTCAGTGTGGAGTTTGCATGTTCTCCCCGTGCAGCATGGGTTCTCTCCGGATTCTCCGGCTTCCTCCCACACAGTCCAAAAACATGTTGAGGTTAATTGGTGATACTAAATTGTCCGTAGGTGTGAATGTGAGTGTACTTGGTTGTCTGTCTCTAAGTGTCCCAGGTGTCCCCTGCCTTCGCCCTAAGTCAGCTGGGATAGGCTCCAGCCCCCCCGCAACCCCAGTGAGGATTTAGCGGTGTATAGATAATGGATAAATAAAAGTGTGATTCTAAAGTCAAGATTATTACTAAGCCAAGTTTATCTATATTTATGCCTCTACCTCTTTGGACCAGATTGAATTATTCCATTAATTAGAAGATGGATTCCCATTAAATGAGGTGCATAGTTTCCAGAGGATGAATCCTACTGATTGTAGCAATCTCCTGACTTTTCTTATTTCTTTGGTGAGGTTGACAGTGGTGCTTTTTAATAAAAATGTCAGACAACTACTCAACTCATTGTTATTAAATTTGGTATACACATTCATGCTCACCATAGGATGAATTGTGATAACTTTGATGATTCCATATTTTTTTTTATCTAGCTTCACTAGAAGGTTGAATTTGTCTGTAACTTTATAAGGACGCCAAACAGCATTTCCATCTAACATGTTAACATAACAGCAACTAAGACACCCAACACAGTAAATATTATATCTGCTAATGTTGTCAAATCAGTTGCCATGCTAATTTTAGATTTTTAAAAATATTTATTCAGATTTAGGTTCAAAATAGTGTATATATATATATATATATATATATATGTCACACTTTGTTGTAGCACCAAAGCACTTCCAACTAGAAGTAAGTACTATGATATTGTGTTGGGTTTGATTGACATTTGAATGTAAATAAAATCTTCGTGTTCATAAATTTCCTTCAATCATAGACTCCATCGTCCAGTTTTGTTGTTGTCGTCAAGTGGTGCTCACCTTTGCAGAGGGCCTGGACGAAGCTCATGAGGTCAGGTGCCTTGCCGGAGCGCAGGATCTCACTCAGGGCCCAGATGTAGTTCTTGGCGAGGCGGAGCGTCTCGATCTTAGACAGTTTCTGGGTTTTGGAGTAACAGGGGACAACTTTTCGCAGACTCTCCAGAGCATCGTTCAGCCCGTGCATGCGGTTCCTCTCCCGGGCGTTAGCTTTCATCCGACGAATCTTAAACCTGCAGAGAGACACGCACTAGTTAACAGTTATCACATCTGTAACATCTGAGAAGAGATGATCAGGTTTGGGAATCGTTTGTTACAGTGAATACAATAATTTGCAGAAACCCTTAGTCAGCATGTTAGGTTGTGTTTTCTCTGCACTATGCTGTTGTGCAGCATTTTCAAAGCCCTCATAGTCCAATAAAAAGTCCCATTATTGTATTTACGCACATTGTATAGAAGAAATAGATTTAGAGGATAAAAAGATCTTTGATTTGCAATTGTCTGTTCTGTCAAACACATGTTAGATGATGGAACTGAAACCTGACTAGTGAACACTGGCTGTTAGATTAACCTGATTTACATTAACAATAGGGATCAATTGATCATTTCTGCCATATGATTTTCTGCAAACATTTAAGGAGTCCATGCAACCACCCAAGTACTCGAAAATATCAAATGCACATCAACTGTTATTCACTGCTTTATTTATTTGTTGTTTTATGGTGTCTGTTTAAGAGCATATTAAAATTACACATTGTTATCTATAAATCCAAATATGTAACATCATCTATTTTCCCAGACAAATTTGCAGAGAAGATCATAAAAGACTAAATACAAGGAGGGAAAAAAGCCCTACCTCTGTTTAGTTTAGATATTAGCAAACCATTCAAGCTATAAATGTTGGTGAAACAAATGAAAATTCCCCTCTTGGTTGCCACAGTTAAGTGTTCTGATATCAAAGTTTATGTGGACTGTACACCGTTGTTTGATAAAACAGTGACCACAGCGCAGTTTCCTGATAACTATCAGTTAATTATCTTTTATCGCAACATGTTTTCCAAAGCAGCACTACTGTACTGCTCAGAGCTTCAGTTGTCTGTGCTGAACCTGATGCAGAATACACTTTAAAGCAAGAATACCTTGTATGAAAACAAAGTTTGATCAGCACCAAATCCTATAACTGTCATGAATATGTACATTATCTATCGTAAATGCCACCCTGTTGCTACCTCTGCAGTAGACTCACTACATATATTACACCAGAAATTATGCAGAGTGATTGCATAAATGTAATTGAATCGACGTGTGTGTGTTCTGTGACACTTCTTAAGATGTTCATATCCTCCTGTAAGTCAGTACGAGGTATCCAAAGCAACATTATCATTCGTCTAGATTTTGTGTCCATCTGATGAATGTTGTTTTAGCTCTGATTTGGTCTCCACCATCTCTGGAGGGTAATCACTTTTTACCTACACTATGTTCACCAGCTCATCTCTTAAATTTTCACTGCCATTTGGTGCTAAACAGGTAGTTAACGTTTTCACCCAAATGAAGCTGTGTTAGTAAACCAAAGCCTTAAAGTTGTTTAAGCTCATAAAGCCAAGAGAAGCTGCAGATCAACACTACCGACAATATCACACTGTCACGTTGTCTCTCAGTCATTTGATGCAATTCAATATAAAAATCTATACAATAGCTGCTTTAAAATGGTTCCTAAGATTAATTTTGCCATCATTGTTGCTTTAAGATGCTTTTGAGAAACAGGAAAATGTGAATATTAAATTTTATACTGTGAAATCAGGTCAGCTGTGTTTGTCCTTTTCTGATTAGTCAAGACCTGCTGTAGTTTCTGATCTTAAAACAGTTGATCAGCCAGTCTTTTTAAATATTTCAAAATGCAGAAAAAATGCAAAATTTTAGATCTGAATCTTTAAAATTAGATTATCCTCTTTGTTTAATTTGCTGGCGACTCTGCTTGGCAGTCTTTTGTCCCAACACTTTGACCCAGCGCCACATGTCTGCACAAGCAGAGGTCAGATTCCTTTTAGGTTTGTCTTGCTCCTCTGAGGATAAACCTTGCAGATTTTAAACTTCACATTTTTAACTGGAAACACTGCTTTATTTTTCAACTTAGAACACGCAGAGGAAAAATCAAACTACCTCTGCATGCGAGCCTTCGTCATCTTCTTCTTCTTCGGCCCTCGCCTCTTGGGCTTGTTCTCCCCGTCTTCCTCCTCCTCCTCCTCTTCCTCGTCGTCGTCGTCGTCCTCTTCGTCGTCCAGATGGTGGAGGTGGTCCTCCTCCTCCTCCTCCCCTCCTCCTCCTCCACCGGCCCCCACTTCTCTTTCCCTCTCTGAGTCTCTTCCTGCGGGACTCCTGAGCTCCTGCTGCTCCTCGGACTCCCCCGACGCCTGCTCCTCCCGCACAGACCTGGTCATGATGCTGATTCTCTGATGAACACAAGAAAGATGCTCATTACAAAACAATGAAACACTCCTCGACACTCACTATCACACTCTGTACATGTAGAAGAAAACTTCATGGTACTGAATAATAATCAACATTTTCAAGAACACATGGTAATTATAAATCAGATTTGAGGGTTGACTATTCATGAAATGATTGCCAAATAGCAAAAAACAAAATGAAATAAAATGAAATCTTTCCAAATACTGATTTTGCTTTTTGACATTAAAGTTGTCCAGACAGACCATTTAAATAATAGTATAATGTTTGAAGAATTGTTTCTATCAGTTGAGTACTGGCCAAGAGAGTGTTTGGTCCATTTGTATTTGCTGAACAGAATCAGCAGGTGTCTGGATGATAAATGGATCATTTAGTATTGATTTTTCTTTAAATAAAATGAGGAGACACAATAGAAACATTTAATGAAGAAAGAAAGAAAGAAAGAAAGAAAGAAAGAAAGAAAGAAAGAAAGAAAGAAAGAAAGAAAATGTTATTTTCAAACTGTATCTAACATAAAATATAAGAAATAAAGCTTTAATCTAAATTAGAAGGGCTTAAATTCATATCTGATTTTAATCAATTAAATTAACTCAGTGCAATTAACATTCATTAATCTGCTGCCCACGGAGAGTGTTGTGGAAAAAACGAATTCGGTCAATGTGACGGGACACAAAAGCAAAACCTTGTATGTATACTGCAAAATCAGGGCAACTAGAGAATTAGAAATTTCCCGCGGATGGCTTTACAATTTGTACAACATGCGACCTTCAGTCTGACATCTAGCTGTAGAGAAACCAAAAAAATGTCGCAAAAATGTAAAACTTTCAGGCAAAAAATCTGCAGATCTTCCAAATAGAAACCTAACCATCTCTTTGATTTGCTCCGTTAATTCGATCCTTAATGAGCCAGATATTTATTCCGTAAAAGAAAGAAAAAGAGAAGAAGAAAAAAAAAGTCTTTTGATAATATATATATTATAGGCCTAACAAAAAATGTTAAATGAGAAAATAATTCCTGACGATGCTTTCTTTGCCAGCAGAGAAAAAGAAGTTTGATAATATTATTAGAATTAGAATTTTAGTTAATTGAAAGTCATGCGTACAAGCTTTTCTTTTTCTTCTTCTTCTTCTTATTATTTTTATTACTATTATACTTGACCATCTGCTGACCGCTGGCTGAATTATTATTATTATTATTATTTTTAAATTTCGTCCCGTTTTCTGCTCCCGTTAACTTTCCAGACAGACGGCTGGAGGTGACCGAAGAGCTCGAAGAAATACAACAAAATTCAACAATAAACAAACAGAAAAAAATCATAATTTGCGAAAAACGTTTATAACTTTTGCAATGTTTCTGAGGAGAGCTATGGAGCAGGGTTACGGAAAACAACAAATAAAATGACAACTTTTTCCTCTTCTTTTTTTTAATGTACAAACTAAAAAAGACGATAAAACGACTAATCGAATTTTAAAAGATTTCTAAAAAAGATTTCTTGGTTTGTTCGAGCGCTTGCCGGTTCAGTTCAATGCAGATGAGACGAATTATTGAGCTACTGATGAGTTAAATGATCAGGAACAGATTATCAGTTTGGTATAAATTAGTCTTTTTGATTTTAGTGAGTGATCAGATTTATCATTATGAAGGTCAAACTATACACAATCCCGACGAAGCGGTCGCAGGAGGAATTTATCAATCATATCACATTGATCATTATCGGTGTTAAAACCTACCTGTTGTAACGAGCTGTCCGTCAGATCGCACGCATCCCGCGCGCTCTGTCTAAGTGTCCGTGCGTGACTGTGCGTGATCTGCTGTGAGCTTTCTGGGGTGTGTGTGGGATGCTGCTGCTTTTATACTCAAGACACACACACACACCTACACACACACACACACACAGAAGAGGGGTTGGGGGTAATTAGCATATCAAGGCCACGCCCTCCCGGCACGCGCCATATGGTGCTTACGTCATTAAAACGGCCCCGGGGATCACGTGACAAATCTTCCATTTGTATCAGCCAAAGTCTCTCTCTCTCTCTTTGTGAGGAAAGTTGACCATCTGTCGCCATACGATGGGACGCATGCGCAGACAGCTACTGCAAGGTGTGTGTAGCACGTGATAATTAAATGATATCTGAGAGTAAAGCACGTGGGTGGAGGTTTATATATATAATACTGTATTAAGCGTGAGGGAGAGCAAAAGGATGGGCATGAAGATGATGCTGATTATGGTGATATGTGAGCCGGATGACAATATATTTAGCATCTTCAATAAGCGGATGTTGATGAACAACAATGTTGTCTTCATCATCTATGCAGTATGCAGTAACTCATATTCACCATCTTCATCATCATCACCAAAGGTTAAGATGATGATGATGAAATGATATGATAATAAAGAGGATCATCATCAGCCTCACTACTATTATCATCATCATCATCATCATCATCATCATCATCATCATCATCATCATTTGTGAGGAAGTGATGATGCTGTTGGTGATGAAGATGGCTATGATTATGGTGATAATATTATGGTGATATGGTGATGTTGGAGATCATCGTCATCAATGTCATTGCTGAGGATGATCTTCATCATCATCTTCTTATTGATAGTGATGGTATGGTAATGATATGGTGATGTTGAAGATCATCATCATCATCACCATCATCATCATCATCATCATCATCATCACCATCATCATCATCATCATCATCATCATCACCATCATCATCATCACCCCACATAACAATCACTATCATCATCATCATTGTTGTCATTATCATCTGGATCTTCATCTAGTTGTTTGTTATGATGATGGTGATGCTGATGCTGCTGTTTGTAATGTTAAATGTTGATAATCATAATATGATGATGAGGTTTATCATCCTCAACAACGTATTCATTATCTTGTTATTGATTATGATAAAGATGATGCTGATGACCATATGGATGATGAAGATGATGACATCATTATTGTTGACTGTTCAGACAAAATCCCTCAATCCTGGGGTCCAGATTTTAAAAATCTTTTTATGACCCACACCACTTCCGTGACAGCCCTCTAGTGTCTATTTTATTTATGACAAGAACAAAGGAAGAAGTGCGGAGAGTCAGCACAGGGAAGAGGTCGGGGTGGATGGATGGTTCAACAAAACATCGGACATTAACATGTGGGACTGACGTTTGTTTCCTGTTTTCTTGTTTTTCTACTTAAAGCATGACTGTTCCATGACCTTAGCGAGATTTTTTTTTATCATTGTTAGCATGACAGTGGAGGTCTTCTATTTTGACACTAACCTTGATCTTTTCTTAAAGCTAGCCAAGTTGTCTTTATGCCTCAACCTAATAAAACAGAGTGGAAAAATAGCAATGTGCTATTTAGGGGATAGGAGAGCGTAGGGACCAGACCACCTGCATTGTTGCTCAGGATGGAGGACTGGTGCTTTATGTTTAAATAAGTGAGTGCTGCATCATGAATGTCTTCTAGGAGAGACTGTATATAAACAGGTGTTCCCCTCTCTTGAATGTTCAGAGCAACTGAAAACACCTTTTTCTGCTGGTCAGGCCACACATCACTTGAACTGGTCTTGTCTTGTTTAATCATTATCGCTTGGCCTGCTTCGACTGCATGTGTGAAAAAGTCAACAGAAGAAGAGCTGGAGGAAACTAGTGGGCAGGGCTTCGGTAACTTTTCCACATCCACTGAGTCAGACCTGCTGCATCAGGTCCGACCAGCAGGAAAAAACTGTGGACTTTGGACTGGTCTGTTCTGCAGTGAAGAGGTTACTATGGTGATGATGAACTGGTTGCTAAGAGGTTACCAGGCAACTTTGGAGGACCTGTGTGTCCGTCCATCGTTTGGGACACTCTGGCAGCTAATGGTTAACACAGAATCAATGTCTCCGTCTCTCTGCTGCTCAGATCAGGACTCATGAATAGAAAACTTATTGAGTTACCAGATTAAATCAGTTTTAGAGGGAACGTTCTGCAGCATTTTTCTGTGTTTGACATTCTTTGCTGCTGTAAATAGGCCCAGCATTTACAATTTTAGTGGATTTTAACAAATGGAAATTCAGTGATTGCACACGTTTATCAGGAGGCAGAAACAACAGAAGCTGAGTAAAACACGTTTTTTCTTTTGTTATTCAAAGCAACTTGACCAAACAGCAACTTCCTACTGAATAAGAATTATTATTCTATACTGCTGGCTGTGTGTGTGTGCGTGTGTGTGTGTGTGCGTGTGTGTGTGTGTGTGTGTGTGTGTGTGTGTGTGTGCGTGTGTGAAGGTCAGATTATCCTATTCATACAAAGAACACACACAGTCTAATGTCTAGAAACAACAACCAACTCCAGTTTCTTCCAATGATCGTTATGAGAAACACTTGAACTCCCCAATTAACATTAGTAAACAGCAGTACACAAGATTTTAATAGCTGAATAAAGTTGATCAAAAATTAAGTTTGCTAATGTTAGTTAATATACAATATTTTATAATGTTCAAGCAGTGTTTTATTGTATTTTCATCTAGTATCTATTTCTGCTGCAGACTGAACTTACAGATGCCTTACAATGTTTTTAAACCGTTCACTTTGTGTTAATGAACCCTTCTCATAAAAGCTGAATGCGTAACATCATTATATCAGGATAAATCCCTTTGTATAAGTCATCTTATTTTCAATGGGGGTCCCTTAAAAAAAGGTACATAAACAGAAAAAAAAATAAAAAATTGTATTCGAGGTTAAAAACCTGAGGAATATATTCTATAATATATTTTAGGAGAATTAACATTTACAAATGAGGCAAATTAAGCTAATGGCCAACTATGTGGGCAAATTATTTACATTTTTAGATTTTCAAGTGGAACCCTGAAGAAGAGGTGATCTGAGAAATTTAGACTATGAAAGAAATGGAATTGTTTAAAGCAATGAGGATCAATAAAATCCATAAAAGAGAGAAAAAAAACCCCAAAACTCTTTGTGCAACCAGCAGAGCCTATTCTATATCCATACATGACCCTGAGAGGCAAAGATTGATCTTATAAATTGTGACACGAAATGTGAACCAAAGAAAACAAACGTAAATCATTTTTAATTGTCATTATTCCGAGTCATTTGAACAACATTAGAACAAACCGTTAACAGCTTCGGTGAACATGACTGTGTTAACTGGACTATAGCTGTTTCAGTGTTTGTTTGCAGCGATGGAAGCTTCCAGTCCGTCCAGTTTAACGGTGTTTGGTTTCCATCTAGTGGTGAATCTGGTACTGCAGGTAAACGTACAAAACTCTTTCTTTCTATCTTTTATGTCCCACACACGCCCGACAATTTGAATGAAAGTATCCATCCTGTCATATCTGTACATGTGAAATGTGTATCTATTATTATCTTTTAATTTTTTGGTCTTTATCATACTTGTGTACTTCTCTTGTTGTTGACTGTGCTTCATTTGTATCTGGCTGCTGCTGTGACGTGTGAATTTCCCCAGTTAAAGTTTGTCTTATCTCATCTTACACTTTGGCAATATTTCCTGTAAAATAATAATGTAATAATACAATAAAACACTGGCAGCTGTGACTGCCAGTATTTTATTGTATTGCTACAGTATTGCAATTGTTATTTATTTAAACAGTCGATTACCATTTCATCAATCCCAGTCCTCTACAGTAATTTTCCAATAATATACTGCATTTATATGATGTTGCCACTGAAATCATATCAACTGTAACTGTAGTTACCTGTAAATGAAGACACATTTTTCTTTTAAAATGTACAATGAACAATGTGTCTTTGATATTTATGATTCAAAATTCAGATCTTGGCAGCAATGTGTGGCAAATTTTAGTCTCTTTAATATATATATTAAAAAACTGGAAAGGGAGGCGTTGATGCTTATTTGTTTACTATGAAATTAGTATTCATTACATTGTGCAGAGCCCAAATAAATGTAACAATAAGGAGCAAAGCTGGGACGTTCGGGCCCAATATCATATCTCTAACAAGTTATAGTTTTAAAGGTTTATTCCACACAAAATACTTATATTATAGTTATAAAGATATACTCCACCCAAAATGGTACTTTCTGTCCAAGTACTAAATAGTACTTTCTAGCTAACAAGTTAAGGTTTTAAAAGTTTGTTGACCCAAAATACTACTTTCTTAATGGTTTATGCCACCAAATATAATATTTAAAGTTTTTAAAATGTATTTCACCTGAAGTGATACTTTTTGTCCAAACACTTTCAGTTTTAAAGGTTTAACCCACACAAGTAGTGGATTCTAAAAACAAGTCATGTGAAAAAGGTTAATACACCCAAAATGCTACTTTAAAATAACAACTACAACAACAACAATAAGAAGAATAATGATGATGATGATGATGATGATGACTTTCAACAAACAAGTTGTGGTTTTACATTTTCTTCCACACACAAAAATACTTAGTTATGAAGATTTATTTTAACCAAAATGCCAAAACTTTCAAAACCTAATCATATTTTTAACGGTTAATTTCAGCAAAAACAATACTTGAAGTTTAAAAAAAAAAAGGTATTTTACCTGAAAAATTACTTTCCTTCCAGACACTCAGACTTTTACAGGTTCTAAAAACAAGTCATGTTAAAAAGGTTAAGACACACAAAATGCTACTTTTATTTATTTATTTTATTTTTTTTAACAAAATAGTGATTTTCAACTAGCAAGTAATGGTTTAAAACATTTTCCCCACACAAAAATAATATAGTTATAAAGATTTATTCCACCCAAAATGTTCCTGTCCAAATATTTATAGTTTTCAAGGTTTATTCAACCTAAATAGTGCGCTCTAGCCAGATTTTAAAAGCTTGTCGTCGACCCTAACAAAAATAGTGGTTTTCAACTAACAACTTATAACTTTAAAAGTTTATTCTAGCCAAAACTGGGTGTAGTTCAATTTCTTGCCAGTGTCTGAGGACAATAAGAGGAAGAAGAAGAAGAAGAAAAAAAAGACTTAATGAAAAACAAGGCCCAGCCGTGGAGCCTCCCTCCCTGTATGACCGCAGAACGTCCGCCAGGTGTCGCTGTTGCTCCGCTGCGGCCTTCAGAGGACACACCTCCTCCTCCTCCTCCTCCTCCTCCTACACGCTGCTGCTGCTGCTGCTGCTTTCAGGAAGCGGAAGCAGGAATGTTGGAGTGTTTTTAGAAAAGTTTGGACTCCTTTTTTGACAGTTTGGGATCAGAGACGCGGACAGCGGAGGACCATGACGGTGAGTTACCGGAGCTCTGGCCGCTGCTGCTGCTGCGGTGGTCGGCGGCGGTGGAGGGTTTTAGCTGTCAGTGGAGTCCTCCGAGTCACACTGAGCAGGAACAACTGAACAGGATCAACAAGTTGCTCTGATCCAACACTCGAGAGTTTGGTGGCGATTTCTTGAGGCTGCGCATGTTTTCAGATCAGATAAATAAGAGTTTCAGAGGCTGATGGGGTTCAGACTGCAGATAAGGAGAGATAAAGTGACAGATCAGCATCTTTAACATGTGTCTTCATTACTCAGTGTGTGTGTGTGTGTGTGTGTGTGTGTGTGTCATAGAAGCGTGTTGACAAACAAGTCGTGCGATCCTTCACTAATAATTTATGGTGGTGCAGCTCCAGTTTAATGTTTCTGATTTCAGTGAACCATGATGTCCTGTTTACATGATCAGTTAACAGTGTTGTCTGGCAAATGTCAGGAAATGGTGAAAAATTCTTCTTCTGATTTACAGCAGTTCAAAACTTTATATAATTAGCTTCTCAAAACTTTATTTTTGGCTTAAAAATATCAGAAAGAAATCATCAGTTATCAAAATAGTTGCTGGTTAATTTTTGGGATTGCCAGACTAAGCAGTGCAGTGTTAGAAATATTCTTGTCAGATACTGAACTGCAACAATTAGTCGACTAATCAGTTAGATTCAAGCTTCTTAAATGTGAATTTGAGGTGACTGTCGATCCCACAAACAAGAAGTCTGCTGGTTCTGATCCGCCACATTTCAGAGGAAAACACTATCAGCTAACCATCATCTCCATTCTAGATAATCAGTTAGTGTTGTCCAGGAAATGTCAGAAAATGGTGAAAAATCCTTCGTATAATTTCCCACAGCCAAAGTTTTACTCAAGTATCATCTCAAAACCCAAATATTAGTAATTTTCTATCATACAGCTCATCAGTTATCAAGCTAGTTGCTGATTTTCTGTTCATTAACTTCTGGATCACCAGACTAACAAGTGCAGCTCTAGAAATATTTTTTTCATAATCAACAGTGACTTGTCAGATACTGAAGTGCAACATTTACACGATTGTTCAATTAGATTCCAGCTTCTTAAATGTGAATTTGAGTCTGCTGTGAACTGCTGCTGGTGGCTGCTTCAGTTCAGTGTTTCTGATCCGCCACATTTCAGAGGAAAACACTGACGGCAAACCGTGATCTCCATTATACGTAATTAAAAGAATCAAGGACTCGTAATTGAAACAACTCAAAGTTTCATTCAACCATCAGTTCAAAGCTCGAATATTTGCAGTTTACGGCTGGGAAAATATCTGAAACTGCTCATCTGAAATAGTTGCTGATTACTTTTCTGTTGATCAATTAATCGATCAGCTCTGGAGATATTGTTTTATAATCAGAAGCTGCTTGTTAGATATTAAGCTGCAACAATAAGTCGATTTCTTCATTGTTGATTATTAAATTCATCGGAAACTGTTTTGAAAGTCCAAATTAAATGTAAAATTTAATAATTAAATAGAACAATTTTATATTTTCAGTTATTGTTTTCTTTCTTGATGACAGTCAGGCTCTCCTCAATTAAACACGCCAGTTTCTTTATTTCCTTTAATACCCAGAAGGAAACCAGCACTCTGGTGCTGACATGGCAGCAATTTAGATAACTTAATAATTGTTGTAAACAAAAATGGCAAAAAATTGTCTGATAGCAGCTTCTCACATGTTGTTGTTTGTGATCATAAATGTAACTTTTTTGAAAGCTGGTGCAACAAAATGAGTCAGTTTTTATATGTTAATGTGAGTTTAAGGCAATAAGGATGCATCTTTTTCAGTTTTTTAAGAACTTAGCGATAAATCAGCTAAAAAAGAAGGAAAATAATTACCAAACCTGATGATGCTGAAAGTGAATGTCAGCTTTACATTTATGTTGGTTAATTATTTGAGTCTCTCTTCAGGTATTTAAAGTTAAAACCCTCAATGCAGAGAAATTACATGAGAGTGTATGTACTATGCATGTATATAGAATTTAGGTAATATTAATCATGCATTTGTGTTTAAGCAGCATTTTATTGCTCCAGCTGGTTGAGTTGCAGGGACTTCTTAACAGTTTCAGAGCTGTTGATAACTTTCGTTAGTCTGATGAATAGTTTGCTCACCACTGATTAGTATAATATAAAAAAGACTTCTTAATTATCCCGAGCTGACATGTTGACGCCCTCACATGATGTGCATTGTAAAAACAACACACCGAACCTTGAGCTGACTCAGTTTAATGCAGTGACACTTCTGTAAAACTAAATTGAGTTGTGCATTTTTTTGCATGATAATTGTCTTAATGATAAATTAAATTTTGCATTCCATCATATTTTAAAAAGTTTTTTTCCATGTTTTGTGTGCAGAATCTTAATTCATACCTAAAGTGAGCAAATAGTGTTGTGGTGTTTTTTTTACTATGCATTTTTACTATAAATAATGCTCAATGAAATAAAATACTCATGTCAAATGCAGATACACCATTTAGTTATTTTCCATCTCTTTTATGTTGTAGTTGTGTATGTTTTATTTGCAGGATCCAAATTTGTAACTAAAGTAAACAAGTAAATGTAGTCGAATAAAAAGTACAATTTTATGATAAACAATGTTAAACGAAATAAAATACTAAGTAAAGTGCAGATACATCACGTCAAACATATGTAATTATTTTACATCCCCTTATCTGTTTGCCAATTTTTAAAAAGTAGTTGTGTATGTTTTGTATACAGAATCTCCGTTTGTAACTACAGTGATCAAATATATGTAGTGAAGTAATAAGTTCAATGTTTTTATCAAAAATATAGTCAATGACATTCAAATATTCATTAAAGTGCAGATACATCAAATGAAATATATATAGTTATTTTCTATCTCTTCATCTCTTCTCCATAATTAATTGGGTTTGTCTTTTTTAGGTAGGATTCAGTTTTTTATTGACTAACTAAAGTGATCAGATTCGTTTTTCCTGCATGTTAATGACCGTCCTGAAGGAAAAGCCCGTACTGATGCTTCTGTCATCATTATACTGTGTTTGAGGTGACCACTGATGACATTAATCCCAAAAAGTCTTTGAGTTTGCTGTAACAGAAACACTTGACTGTTGCATCGGTGCCGACTGGAGCTCTGAGTCTGGTTTGTGTCTCCGTCGACAGGTTTCCTTAACAATCAGGCCGAGTATTCCTGCAGTCAGTGGGTCATCCTCCAGTTTACAGGGACATGAAACAGAAACTCTCCACATTTTAAAATAGTTTATTGCAGGAGTGCATAACGTAGATTTATGCTTGTTTACATGAGATAATATTCAGAACATTCTTATAATATTAATATGAGTTACGTCTCCAGGCAGAATTTGCACCCTGCAGCTGTCTTCCTCTCATAATAAATTTATCTATATGAGTTAGTTGCATCGTATCTAATCATTTTACTTTGTTTTCTATTAGCAAGTTTAGATCTTGATATACTTAGAATAACCCGTATAGTTTGAAATAGTTACATAATTAAGATTATGAATTATACCAGAATGTTTTTGTATATTTAGGAAAAACTCAGGTGCAGGGGTTTGCTGTTCCAACAGTCATCGCTAAAGATTTTGCAAATTTCTGTTGTGTGTTTGCTGTGACAAAAAGTCTTGTGTGCAGTATATAGTGCTTAACAAATGTATTAGACCACCACCAAATGTAAGGTTTATGCCACAGCTGCCCTAAATTAACAGCATTGGTAATTACCAAAATCATTTTTTAATGTTTCTGTAATGGTTAATACAGCAGTATGCAGAAGCTCTTTAACCAAAGGGATATTTTTAATGCTAAAGTATAATTGTTATCCATGAATTTTCAAATGAACGTTTTTACCAAAACACCTGAAAAAACAGTAAAGCACATTATTATTTCTTGATTAGGGTGTCAAATTCTGGTGATTTACTTGCATTTCTAAAGAGAAAATTTTGTTTTCGTGGTTGAATGTTATGCTTGATTCATTTCTGACTTCTCAGAGGAGCCCAGTGAGGCGGCTCAAATATGGGAATGAAAAGGTGAATTCAATTTGAAATTCCTCATTCCTGTTCAAAACGGTGAAATGTCGAGAGCTGAGTGCGCATTAAAGCACTTCATGATGCTGCATGGTCTATACAATGCTGAACAAATTAGACAGGCACTATATTTTCAATGAATTCTCTGACAAATTTCTAGAATGTATCGTTTTATATTTTGCTTTAGTGGCTGATTGTATGTTTGTGTGCTGGAATCCTAAAAACATGTTAAACAACTATTAGATCATCACAATAGCTGTTGATTATCCATTTTCTGAAAGAGGGTTTCTGCACTGATGCTGTGATTTGCGTCGAGATGTCTGGGCTATACGGCAAAGTTTTGTTAGAATTTAAATGGTTTATTTTACAGCTAGCTTACGTAGATGTTGCTTCAGTAGCGCGTAAATGACTGTATGTAGATGTGAAGAGGGTTTGAACTGTATGCTGACATTTAGTGCTGGTAAATGAGTTTTATATATAAAGTAGAATCTAAAAATACAGCTGAAATACAAAATCGATCAGTTAGTTGAAGAAGTTTGCAGCTGTTTCAACAACTAATCAACTGATAATGTCGTTTTCAAACAATATTTGTAAATATCACTCTGTTGCAGCTTCCTCATTATGATCATTTTTCTGCTTTTCTTTGTTTTATGTGACATTCACTTTACAATCTGGCAGCATAAAGTGGAGACTAACACCAAAGTTAACAAAAGTAAGGGTTTTCTTTCAATAAATACCTGAAGTTTAAACCCAAGGGGATAAAGTAGAAAATGCAACCTAAGAGCATCATGAGCTCCAGCTGCATGGAGTGGAGTCCGTGCAAGCCTCCCCTGGCATCCCCTTTATCCACTGGTATGGATAGTTCAGTTAATGCACCATCCAAAGACCCTTGTTCTGCTGCTGCAAGGGGGGTGCAGAGCAGCGTAAAACAGTAAACATGGTTTGATTTGGACAAAGCAAGTAAAGAAGCTTGAAACAAGAAGCTGTCAGTTTAGGAAATTGTGAAACTGTTGCCTTTACTTTGTGAGTTGTTTATGCAGAAAGTAATTATTGTCACGTCAAAATCATTAAAAGCATTAAGGTTTGATGCTCAGCCTTGTTCTAGATGCTTTGAGGCTTTGTTGTTCTTCTTGCTGTCTGTAAAAAGCGACACTAAAAACTCTTGAGGTCTTTAGAAGCCGAGTGTTTGATTAAAGATGACTCAGAGGGTGAGAAGCAGCTGATCTGTCCATCACCATCATCATGTGTCTCAGATGCTGCTGCAGTTGACTCTCTCTCTGCATGCCGTCTCTGTTGTTGTTGTTGTTGTTGTTGATTTCTGGCATTCCAGTTGGTTTTGCATTAGCGAGAGAAATCTAAAAATAAACCCATCCCTCGCTGACCCCCCCCCGTCCCTCTCCTCACTCGGACAGGAAGTCGTTCTGTTCATCATTCTAAACACTCGTTTCCTGTTTCACATGTTCTCATTCAGATTTGGCTCCTCTAATTCTCTAACTCTTCCTCCTCGCCCTCGTCTCTTCAGCGGCTCCTTATGTTGTTTGACTTTCACCTCAGTGCTTTAGTTTTTACAGCGGGAGCTTGTTGAATCAGCGCCAGTTCAGGTGACTGAACGCAGGGACTTTCATAGTCACAGTAATTTTCCCTTTCGTGTGTAGTGAAATGCAGCAGCGTAAAGCCCAGCTGTCGTTTATAGACCAGTCCGCCTTAAATCATCAGATCTAGAGAACAGTTTCTGCTCAGTCATCCCTGATTTGACAGGAATTTTATCACATCAAATATTGATATTTATAGAGATGCATTTTTTTGCTTTTTGTTAGTGTATGCTCAGAGATGTGAATTTCCTTCACGGCTTCAATTTCACCTATAATCAGACATTATTGGAGCTGCTTGTCCAATCTTGCAGATGTGTTTTGTTTTGTGTTAGTGTGACATGCGGCTACATATGGTTTAGAAAATATCACTCGTTGACTTCTGCATCGTCATGTTTTTTGTCAATGCGTGCTCAAGATGAGACAGCTTCAATTTTTCATATTTTTTTCACCCATAGTCAGAGACTTGAGAGATTTGATCTAACATGTGCTGAAAGTGGGTCAGCAGTTAAAAAAAAGAGAGAAAGAAATCTCAGACAGCAGTTGATGCATTAACCTAAAATTTCATAGATACCGTTTTATTTGCTTGTTTTTTATGATCAAAAAGTTTTAAGCAAATTAGAGATGGTTGAGCAGAAGGTCTCTGATGATTTGAAATGGAACAACCCTCATCAGTGGGTCAGTCTGAGATAAACAAACAGCAGAATACAGAAAAGAAATACTCGGCATGTGTCTGATGATGATCTATCAAAGCAAGCCTGCACGGCATCTCTGTAAAGAAGTTAGAATTTAAAAGACTTCAGTAAACATGTTTCACTTTGTCTATGTGGCCTCACTGTTTGGGTTTGGTTCTGTTGGACAACAAAGCTTGTTATTGCCACAAACACACAAATGTGTGCATGTCTGTAAGCTCAGCTGGGCTCACTGTGGGTAACCTGGTCATTAATAATACAAGCCACTTCTCTGCTTCTCATCTCACTACAAAACATCCTCTCTGTGTTTCATGTCTCCAGCAGCCAGCTCCAACCAACAGTTTATTAATAGCCAACTAGATTGACAAACAATTTTAAAGTCAAAATAATTTGAACTTGTGGCTAAATGTTTCCTAAACAGGGTGTCACTAGATGTAAAGCTCTGCTGGGATGTGGGTTGGCTGTGTGCATCAAATATGCTGTATGAACTTTCCCTGCTATGCCCACCATTACTGCCACTGACCTACTGCTGCTGCTGCTGAAACAAGCACTGGTGAAGATAAAAATGTAGAAATATTAATGTTTATGAACATACTTCTTTCATCACACATTGTGAACATTCTCTATGTGTTTTAAAACTTCTACTCTGTATTTGCAAATAATGACTATAACTATTGCACATTAGCATTTTACTCCATAATAATAACCAAAAGCTTCTTGACTTTAGTCAGCTATTTGAATAATATGTTCATGAAAAGGTAAACAAAGTATTCCCTAACAGTTTAAAAGTGCCTCTGATGTCCAAACTGAGTGTGCCGTCTATTATTCATTGTGGCAAAGTGACTTGGCTGTGACTCAGCTTACAAAGTAATTTCTTCTGAACCAATAAGATGTTGAAGCGCGTCCTTCTCCTTTGTGCACCTCAGTCAGGTGTGGATCAGTGTCAGCTCACTGAATGACTGTTCGCAGCTGCAGCTGTTACCTTGAGCTGTTAGAAAGACCTAAATGACCCGTGGCAAGGTTTGGAACAAGACTTTCTAACAATCTAGATTCTTGCTTTGCACGGTTTGCTGCGTGCATACAGTCTCGTGGGATGTTGCGCTGCATGTATTTTGGGTTCAACTGCGTTGCTTTGACATTCTGGAAACATACATCGTTTTCCCATGTGAGTCAATCCACTGCCAAAGCATGTGAAAACTTAGGATTTTAGGAGTAAAAGGGGTCCAGCAATGCAGATGACCCTAAGTTTGGTTGAAACTGAGCGTCATATTGAATGATTGTAGCATCTGCTTCATAAAGACCAGGTTCAGTCGACTTTGGTAACAGATAATGTTATCTAATTTGGTGACGAATTAATTAAGTCAATAACCAATAACTCTGTGGTGTTATGAAGTCATACACTGAGGAGAATTTTCATGCAATTGGCGTTTCTAGTTAGAGATATTTGATAAAAGTCTGCTCCTTTCAACAGTGTTGATCTTCTCTGTTTTTCTTATTGCTTATAAACTCCTTCAATCATTTTAGTAATTTTTTTCCCCCCCTTTTTTTTTACTGTGTTTTCTTTAGTGTAGCTTCTGTGCAGATGAAAAACAGCTGTCTGGCTAACTCTGAATCATGTGCATTTCTACTAATATGTGGTTAAATAAGTAGAAATGTTTCTGTGTCTCTGTGCAGTTGTGCTACCTGTTGCTGATGTTGCTGTAGAGTCGTCAGTCTTCTCTGACTGATCCGACACACAGATATGGAGAGTGGATCTCTAGGAATGGAAACCAGCGCTGCTCCAGGTGAGTCGTCTTATTTAAATAGCTTATATAGTTAACTAAAAGTTAGAGACAAACAATTTAAATATATGGTAAAATATATAGTAATTGACATAAGTAATAGGAATAGTAATTTAAATGGGTAGCAAAATCATGACCATAAAGGGTCAAGTATGGTTTAGAAAGCACACACATTCATGCACTAGCATACACATTTATATACACACAGAGATATTTGCTAAAGCACATGCACCCTTGAAATAATGGGATAAAAATAGTTGACAAGTTGTTAAAAATGTAACTAATTATTGAAAGGATGGATTGATAACCTAAAACTTTTCTAAATAAATCAACTAAAAGTAAAGACAGACATGTGATGCCACGGTTAGTTCTCATAGTACGAATGCAAACTTATATTAATGTAAAAGTAAAATCAGTTAAAGGGAATGTGGCGGTGATGGTGATAAATTGGTACCACTGCTTGTAATGGGTTTTTTTTGCTATTTGATGGCACAAATTCAAAGTGTTGATGCTGATTTACTTATCTGTTTCAAGTCTTCAGATATATTACAGTTCAATCTGGTATCGCATTAATGCTGGGCCTTCAGATATGGCTTTATCTTTCCTTTTCAAATTGACAAAAACAGCAGCTGGATGGCCTAGACATGCAGGACAAGGACTCATGTGATCCTTCAGCGCGACTCACCTGCTGTGTGTGTTTGTTCTGACTCAGCTGTGGTTTGTGTTTGTCATGTTAAATACCTGCCGAACCCGATCGATGACTTCACGCTGCCGTGCGGTCTGCTTGATTGATCCTCAGATCCCAGACTGAAGCCAATGAGCATGGCCTATATGCGGCGGCGGGCCTGGGCCCAGAGCAAAGACTCCATCTGGCAAGAATCAAAACCAGAGCACTGTGGCCCCGAGGGGCCCCAACAGAGCCAGAGTAACGGGGACACACAGAGACCCTCGGAGGAACCAGGTTAGACTGAGCTCAGCTGTTGTCAAAGCAGTTATGCACTTGGAGTTGTTGAATCTTAAATGTTGACTGTACTGGAAGTACTTAACATTAACGATTTAAAGGCAGACATTTCACTGACTTGCAACCGAGAGTCAAAGTTCAGGCCTGTCATCTGAGGATTTTATCTTATCATAGTTACATGGTATAGCTGTATATGTTCACTGAAACAGTGTCTCCATGACAGAGTTCATGTCCAACTGTAAAATCTCCCACTCAGTACCTATCTATTGCTCCGTTTTGTAATGACAGGTGTTAATATTGGTATAACCTTTCACAACATAAATTAAAACTGTTTAGTCATACAGGAATGTAATTTTTTGGGGGAAAGGATAATTCATGTTTCTTCACATGACCAATGAAGACTTTAAAAGCGGACAATTGATGTGTAGGGGGTTCTATTAGTACCACGATAGATACACGTTGGTTTGCTTTGCAGACAGTCGCATTACGCCTCACCTTGCAGCGAGCTACAGATTGCACTGTAGCACCATGTCAGTCTAATTATTTCTGACGTATGTCGAGCTCAGTGGACATAACACAGGATTTCTGGAGAATTTAGAACTTTTTACTGTGTTTAGTTTCCATCGATATCGATGGATCATTTGTACAAATCAAAGCTCCTCCAAAAGTCCAGCAGTGACAACTTTAATTACAATTAATTTCATGATGAACGATAAGAGTGTAAAGAAATAATCTCTTTGTACATTGTGCATTTATTGAAAACACTTCCAATGTGAACAGTCTGTGCAGTTACATATTTTTGGCTACACATGGATTTCCACACAGGGGTCAATGTTGAATCCATGTTAAATCCCAAGTCACCAATGCTTGAAGACTTGAGATTTACATGTCCTTGTAGATGGAGAAAGTGTGAATTGGCCTTTAACCTTAGCTTGACTGACCTGATTATGTTTAAGTCATGTGGAAACAAATTTGAGCATTTCCTGCATTCATGTTTTTTAGGCTTATGGGCTATTTGTTTGGACAGAAAACTGTGGGAAACTGTAAAGTGCAATTTTCGACAGCTAATTGAAAAAATAATCAACATCTTGATCCATAATGAAATAAGTCAGTAGTTGCGGCCACCGCGTTGTGAACAGGAGCAGGATGTGGACCATTTAGATGTAAACTGGTGGAATTGCAGCCTGCTGGCTCCGTTATTACGATCAGCTAAAATGTTAAGAGTTATATCCTGAAGTCTGGCACCTCTGTAATGCTTTTATGGCATGTTGTAATTACTCTGCAGGACAGCATCTGTTGGCTTACTGCTTTAACGTACTCGTGTGTCTCTTTCTGTCAGGACAAGTTCCCAACAAGATCACCAACTGGCTGAGCGAATGCAGGTACAGTGTTCATTCAACACCTGAACAGAAGTGTGAAAAACAGATGCTTTTCAGGAGAATGACTGGTTGAGTGACAGACTGGCTAACTGGTTTTGTTGCTCATTGGTTTATCGATATGTTTTCCTTGTGTCTGGAGGTGTGTGTGCTCAGGAGCGGTTTTATCAGCTGCTGACGTAGAGCCGCCACGCAGCCAACGCCTAGACATACAACACACAGAATCACACACACACACACACACACACACACACACACACACACACACACACACACACACACACAAAGGGAGCATACCCACACCCAGAGATAGGGCCCATAGAACTGCTGGAGCGAATAAGAAGGAAAGAAGGAAAGAAAGACACAGGAAGAGGCCGACAGAAGACGGAAAGAAAGGCAGAAAAAAAAAGAAAGTAAACAGAGGAGGGGTTCCTGCTGCTGAGTCAACACTGTTATCATACACTCACAGTTTTAACCACTGTCACTCACACTCTCGACAGTGCTCTGACGTCACCGTGGTAACATGACTAACAGAATCTGAATCGCAGGTTACTATAGCAACAGCTGCAGGACAGGGGCCTGGGGCCAACATGGCTGCCTTTGGAAAGTGGGAGGGTTAGCGAACATTGCGGCTGCGCACTGTTACACAACCATCCTTGTGTGTGTGTGTGTGTGTGTGTGTGTGTGTGTTTGTGTTGAATGGTGGCATGAAGTTTGTCCCATTGATAAGAGCTGCAGGTTGTGTAACAGCTCAGTGTTTCCAGCGTCCGGCTGCAGACAGCAGCTCAGATCTGCTGCTACTGTCAGCTAGCCTGGTCTGTCAGCTAGTTAGCCTGGGACAACCAGTCTGGTCAGTAGAACGCTGGGGATGGATTCCATAGCCAGGGGATGGCCTGTGAAATTTTGATTCTGTGTAGGTCAGTTGTTGACTAAGCAAGCAGCCTGGCTTGACCAGGAGTTAGCCTTGCTTGCTTAGTCTTAACCTGACAGGCAGTTAACCTGGTTTACTTAGCCTTAGCCTGACAGGCAGTCAGCCTGTATTGTGCAGCCTTTTTCTGATGGGCATTAAGCCTGGGTTTCTTCACTATAGCCTGACAGACAGTTAGGTTGTGTTACTTGGTCTTGTCTTAGCACAGAGGTTATGCTTGGACAGGTATCCTCAGCCTGAGAGGCAGTTAGCCAGAGTTACTTCAACTTAGCCTAACAGGCAGTGGTGTTGGGATAGTTATCCTTTGCCTCACAGTTAGTTAGCCTGATTTGCTTAGCCTTAGCTTTACAGGCAGTAGAGTTGGCATAGTTAGCCTTCATCTAGTCAGGCATTAGCCAGGGTTACTTAGATGTAGCCTAACAGGTGGTAGTGCTGGTGTAGTTAGCATGGGTTACTTTTACTTTGCCTAACGAGCAGTTAGCCTGGGTTGCTTAGCCTTAGCTGGCCAAGCAGTTAGCAGTGGGGTAGTTAACCTTCACTCGGCAGCCAGGTAACCTGGGTTAGCTAGGCTTAGCCTAATAGGCAGTAGTGTGCAGGGAATTAGCTGGGGTTGTCTATATGTCATTTGACAAACAGGTAATGTTGGCATCATAAAACTTTGCCTGATGCTGGGGTACCCATGTTTCACCTGACAGACAGCTAACACTGCAATCGATAGCTTTAGCCTGACAGTCAGTTAGCCTAGTTTAGGAGTTATCTTAGCATACCTAGCCTAGGTTTTCATAGCAGAACTGGAATATTTAGCTTTAGTTACACAGGTGGTTATCATTGCATCATTTCTATTCACCTGACTGGCATGTAGAATTGGATCGTTAGCCTCAGCTTCACAGTTGTGATAGCTAGTGCAGCCTGGTCATTACTCAATGTGAGCTGTGAGCATTGCATTACCAGGGTTTTGTCTCACTGTGTGTTAGTTTATTATATACAGTTGAGTATTTTGCCGTTATAGTTTGCTTTATATTACCCAGGAATTAGTCTAGGGTAGCTTTTCTTTATGCCCTTATGACCATCCTGATGTATCTGTAAGATTACAGTAGATGAGCATTGAGGGCAAAACACATCTGCTTCAAATATATTCCATGTAAGTATGCACACGGGCTACCAGAAGACACACCGTTCTTTATGTCTATGACTTGTTCTCTAATTGGTGTGTGCTATCGATGTTACATGTTGTAATGCTGAGTGATGCAGCTAATATGTTTTACCTTATATGCTGTGTACTAATAATAGCTGACCTGACTTTACTGATAGGAATGCCTGTTGGATTTTTGCGTTTTTAGTCCCAGTTTATGGTTTAGGTTAATATGTAACCCTCACCGTGTGTCTCTTGTCCAGGACGCCCCTCGGAGCCTCTCTAGATGATCAGAGTGCTTCTCCCAGTAAAGGTAATCCATGTTTTCTGTGGGCTGTTTATATATTATAATATCAGGATCACAGCCTGTTTTGTTGGCACTGCCTCTATTCTCTGGACTTCTCTTTAGAGCTACATACTTACAATTGGTCACCTCAACTTGTTTTCAAGTTAGAATTCAGTTGAGTTTAGTGCCAATTTGTCACTGAAAGGATTACACAACTTCTACTACTTTGTGTGTGTGAACAGGAGCACTCAGGAACGGCTGCAGCTTTGAAGATGACCTTTCACTGGGAGCGGAAGGTCAGTTCAGAGGAAAACTCACAATGCAAATAAGATTACTGATTTTAGCTCATTGTTACTGGTTTCCCCTAATTCTGTATTTTCATTCTGCACCCTGGAAACGTAACAAACACTGACATTTAGGTACATAGTCTTGTTGTCAATTAGAGTCAGATGTAAAGGTTGAAGTTGGTCAGGCTGCCTCGCAAACGTCACTGATTCAGTAGTTGAGAAACCTCTGATTTAATCCTCACCTTGCCAGTTAAATTTCTAATCTCTAGTACCTGTAGTATATCAGTGCATACGTTTTAAATTGCGCTTCATCGTTATTGTAGTTCGGCAATGACCTCCATGTTTTCCAGATATGAGGTCTTGGTGACCTGAGAGTCGTTATATGAACTGTTCATAACTTAGTACATTGGACATGAGTTCAGTTTAGTGTTCAAGTGATGAAGCGTGTTCTGTTGTCTCACAGTAATCCTATTAGCTTGGCCTGTTGGCTCCACGGTTTGTTTTAATGTGCATTTTTAGAAATGGTGGTTCAATTATGATATTTCGGTTGTCTTCCCTGAGGTTTATATTGTCATTTCATAAAACGTTGGATAAATTGGTATTTGACCCTTAGTAAAAAAAAAAACAAACAAAACAACACATTTGGACAAGCAACTATTTTATCTAAATGAATAAGCAACACTATCACGTAAAAACATGAATGTACCCCTCTTAATGACAACAAAAGCTCTGGTTGTCAGACTTTGGGTTTTTACACTTCTTACTGTAGTTAAGTCTGTTTCACTCCAAAGTGCGGTATGCTTGTTGAGTGTTGATATTACGTACGATGCCTTGGCACAGTAAGGCGATCTGTGTGCAGGTTTGCTTTGAAGGCATAAACTCTGGTCCAGATCAGGCTGGTGAAGATATGACAGTCATATTTTTGCTGTCTATCCAAGCGTCACAGTGCTTGAGTGTGGATCAATAATGCGAATCAAGAGAATTTGGATGGTGGAGCAATCGAGTACGACTGGAGGCCCCCTGAAACTGTCTGGAACGCAATAGTTTCAGTAGTGCATGAGCAAATTTATTTTTCAAAGACTTAATTACCATCAGCTGCTTTACAGTCATCCAGGGACTTGCATTGTTTAGTGTACAGGCACTACACAGTGGACAAGTTAACACACCCGGAATTCAGACACTAAAATAGAATGGCAGACAGTAAATGTAGCGTACTACGTAGTAAACAACAAGGGATTTTAGTCGCAGCCCTTTTGGCACATGTTCATAGTTAATGTGATGAACTTTTTGCATATGTTCACTGCTTGCATCGGTAAATGTAACTAGAAAAAGGCAAAGACTATGTAAGTGTTTTTAGAGGAAGACTAGAAAAAATTCTACCATCCACAACTGGGCATATTTGAAAAATAGAGGACTTGTGACTGAGAACAAAAGGCTCACACAAATGAAACTGCATAACTGTGAGCAAAACGGGCAAGAAACAGCTGCAGCATACAGCAGAGAGAACACAGCTTGTGGACGATTTTAAATGTGCTGAACAATGGTACAGCAGAAACTATTCATTAGCTCAAATAATAAGATAACTATGATTAAATTTGTGAAAAATAAACATGCACAGAGAGACAGCAGCTTTCAGACATGTGCTTTAGTCTCAGATTAGTCCAAATTTGTGAAGTTTGCACAACAAAAAAGAATCCTAAGCAGTAAAGCGTAGACCTATTGATGCCTGGGGATGTTTTTCTGACAGTGGTGTGGATGAAGTTGCAGTTACTGATGGAATCATGAGCTCTGAAATATCCAGAGGAATGTAGATGCAAACTTCATCAGTCTAAAACTTATTCATGCAGCAGAAGTGGAGCTCCTTGCAGGGTCATGATCCAAAACACACATCCCATAGAGCATCTATTGGATGCGAAGGAGAAAAAAGAATTAGCTCACTAACACTCTGGTATGGATGAATTGAAACCACAGCTGTTATAGAAACTGGTTGATCCCCTGATCAGACATTGTTGAGCATTTCTGCAAGCTAAAAGATGAAAAATTGTCACCTTAAGCCAATTCTTTGTGTTTAGTTTTTAACTTCAGTTTTAATTGCATATCATCTGTTTTACAGATTAACACCTACGAAACTTCTTATTGTAGAATATTTTGCCTTACAAGTGTGCTTGTGGTAGCTTGCTTTAAAATACATGCCATTTCTTTTCACATATTATCTTCTTCAATTGTAGCCTAAGTGTTTAAACAGTTTCTTACTTCACTGTATATGTTGCAATGGGAGTATGGCATGTCAGTGTGGTAAAAAGACAGTTGCTTCACAACAAGTGCTCCTCTCTTTTTGATTAGTAGTATGATTAAAAACCATGAATCATTCTGCCCTGTGTGTGTCCGTTCATAATAATAATGAGCCTCATCAAGGGTGTAAATGAAGGACAGACGTCTGACAAACAAAACACTGTCAGTTGAATCAACAGAACGTCTTGTGACGCTCCGTTTTCATTCCTCGGTCTTGTTTCTTCTTGAAGGAAAAGTCAACAGTGGCAGAGGTGTGGAAACACACTGCATGCATGACCGACTCTCCTCTGAGAGTGTGTGTTTTCATCATTCCTGTGATCTACTGTGAATACATCGATAACTGCTCTGATGGCGAGAGGGTTAATGTGTTATTGAGCGAACAATAGCCTCTAATGACTTTAGGCTTAGGAACTCTGTGTGTGTGGTCGGAGGTCAGCTGGTGGAATCTGAGGCTGAATACATTCTAATTAGTTGAGGCAGAGAGATCAAGAGTTTGCGTAGATTTGATCTGGGACATCCTGTGCAGGAACGGCAGTCTTGGATGCATTTCAGTTACAACATACATGCAGTAAATTTAATTTAATTTTGTACAAACACACAGTCAAGGACAACTCAAGAGCTGCCTTTAGTCCATAGTAGGTCTCTTTCACAGCAGACACTGTGACTTGTCACAGCAGGAGAATCGCAGGTGAAACTAATGTATTTTAACAATGGCTTAACTCCTTTAAGTGACCCAGTAAGCCGTGACAGTGAGCCAACATGTGCAGCAGCTCGACCCAACCTAAGTGGATGCAGTCATCATTAATACACCTGTGCTGTTCCTGCTGTGACATGTCTCCTGTGAAAAAGGTCCATTATTCAGCAATTAATTGCATCTTTCGGTATCCTCCCATCTGCTGTTGGTCCTGCTTACCAACTTTGGAACATTGAAAACCCTTGCATCAGTTCTGCACAACTTGTATTGGCAAGCTTTTTGTGGCACTCCGAATCTCTGGAGATTATGTCAACTCATGATGAAGGTTGCATATATTCAATTTTTGCTTCCGTGTTTCTTAATCTCATCTACCCCTATGCTTGCTGTCTCTCCAAAACAGCCAAAAAACAAAACAAAGAAAAAGCCTTTGCTTTTTTCATGCTCATTGTTCAGAAACAAAATCTTCACTGGACATAAAATAGCCTTAGCTATGGCCAAAAATGATCCAAATGGACTAAAAAACATGAGATAATAACCAGTAGTAGTGTCATATTTTGTTAATATGAAATGGCTAGTAATGGCTTCCTTAAGAAAATACATGCAAATATCTAGATGTTGGAGGAACATAGAGCAAAATTTCTAGAATAGTAAAACATTTGGTTGGGGGAAAACTACTCGTCTAGTTAGATTTGTATCAGCTACCTGGCTGTGTGTTTGTACAGATGTGACACTAGTATGAAAAGAAAGCCGTACAGCTCATGGATTTGGGTCTCCTTGTTGAAAATTGAAGCCCACTTGAGCTCTTTAGTTTGAATGTCTCTGTCCTGACTGACTTAATTATCTGAGTAGATGTTTGACTGAAGTGGCTGATGTCCTTGTTGCACAGAAGATTGTGCAGATGTCATGTATGAACAGATCCTAATGGGCTGTAATGATGTTGAACATTGCCATGACCGAATAGGAGGGGATTAAAGTGTTAATGGGTGAATAGGATGCAAGTGAATTAGTGAATTAAACGGTTCAGGGTGAACAGGATGGAAGTGAATCAGTGAATCAGAGTATGGAGGTGAGCTGTTGTCACGTTTGGCTCCTTTAATCCAGCTGTCCGTCAGAGAAGAAAACCTTGCGGATTGAAACAAATTCAGCTGTAATGAAGTGGAAAAAAGGTAGAGAGGCGCTCACATGGACGGTGACAGGGCGACAGGTCTCAACAGGTCTCGACAGGTTCCTCTGAAATGGAAAAGAAAACAAAAGTCACACCTCCAGCTGCTGATGCCTTTCAGGTGTTTGACGGAGTGAAAGTTATGTTAAACAGATTAACGCACAGTTGAGTTCATTCATTACGGTTTCGTTGTGTTTTTTTTGGAAAGGCTTAAAAAGATAAGACACTGTAAGCCCCATTAAAACGATTAATGGAACATCGCTGGTGCATGTTTGTAGCGAACAATCAATTAATTGGGAATTACAAGCAACTGTTGGTCAGATAATAGAATACATTTAAAGAGTTCACTTATAGCCCTGTGAGGATGTTTTTTTGTAATTTTAGCAGCTTAATGATTCATCAACTAATTAGAGATGTTGCTGACACATTAAATAATTAAAAACAATTATAGTGGCACACCGGTTAGCTGCTGATGTTGTTGTTTTTAATGATAGATAGGTCATAATTGTCATGTTTGTCTCTGCAGCCAACCATCTTCAGTCCAGTAGCAGCAAAACTGAATCCTGGTGAGTTTACTTTTATTTAATTGTCTGTATTCTGAAAGGAAAGTTGTAGCTGGTTGTTTCTTCTCCCTCGAGCCTGTGAATATATCTATGCTGATGTTTCCCTGTGTGTTAATGTCTTGTGTGCAGTTTTGGTCTTGCGGCGGATCAGAAGAGGAGTCAGTACAAAGAGAGGGGGAGAAGTATGAACTCCACAGGATCAGGGAAGAGCAGCACCGTTTCCAGGTCAGTTCACGTCGTCGATCCTCACTCAGACTCATGGAGGTTTCTGCTGGAAGTAACGCAGTGATCTCAGGTAGAGAGAGATGAAGGCACGCTGAGCTGTTGCTGAACTTCAAACCCATTAAATGACACTGTCGAGAACTTGTTTGCGTCCAAACAAAAAAAAAGCTAACCAGAGGTGTTGTGTACAAGACAAACCAAATAGAAACTCACACAAAGCTGAGTTGAAATCCTTTCCCTGTCCCACCCACATACAAACCAAAAGAGGATGTTCCTCAAAAGGAGTCAAATAAAATGTAAAAAGAATGAAAAGAAATGACTAAATACATGAATACATGAACAGATATTGTAACAAGTCAACAATCCTGGTTCTTTCAGTTACTCAATTCTGATTCTGGTTCATTTTCCAAAAAACATCTAATTAAGAGGAGATGAGAATCCAACTTCCAAGTCATTGCTGTACACTTCATGGCAATACATAAAGCTATCTCTCAAAAAGTTTCTTCAGGAAGATTCTTAAATGTTTATTGTCAATTATAAGATTTCTACAATGAATAAATTTGTGGATCCAAGGGGAAAGTAAATCCTGTACGAGACAGGTTATTACTCAGCCAAAAATGCAATGCAAAAACAAACCCTCTTCCAAACCACACCTGAAGCAACAATCTGATAACAGATTTGTATTCACCTCCATGGGGTGTTGATGGAGTGAATTACATTATATTCAAGTTGTTTACATTACTTACTATGAAACCTTGCACCTTCTCATGTGAGTCATTTGCACATTCCTGCACATTTTAAGCATTTCTGTTACTTTTTACAACCCGGAGTCTCTTTATTACACGTGCAGCTAAATTGTCTTGTAACACTTCCTGTCCACTGACTTGCAACACATTTTTAAATACGCACTAAAACACCAAGTCAAATTCCTCAATTGTGAAAACTTACTTGGCAGTAAAACTGTTTTTGACAATCTTTGGTTAACATTTAAAGTAGCCAATAAACTTTATTTGGCACAGTTCTGACTGAAGCTCTGGGTCAGTCATTGCATGTAATTCCCACACTCAACCCTCTCTTTGAAGCTCCATCAATAGAAATTACATTTTTGGAATTAAGTACATTACCTTCATTAGAAGCTTTTCCATATCACAGTACAGGTGAATTCATTTTTTGTCTCTGAGTAGTACTAAGAAAGGGTCTTGGTTGTAGATAACATTTTTTTTTTAGCTGGGCAAGTTATACTTCCTCTTTAGTTGTTCAAAAGACAGCAGAGCTCAGTTACAGTCCTCCAGATAGTGAATCTGAATCCACATTTCTTCCAGGAACATGAAGTTAATTCTGTCTCAAAGATGTTTTGAGTGACAGACTGACCGCTAATCAAATTCTCTTGGGACCTTGTACCATATTTTGATTATTGGTATAAAAAATGGTTATGATCCTCTGGGTCCATTTGTAAATGAAATCACCAGGGACTTTCTTTTTCAGAGTAAACATTCCAGTTAAAGCCCATGTGGAAATGCTGTGAGACTCAAACAGAAAAGAAACCAGCCAAATCTGAGCAGCCAATTTAAAAAATTTTTTTTTAAACTAGGTAGTCAAAATCCATCCAATTTATAGTCCCATGTGTGTTTTTTTCCATTGAGCCCCTTGGAATCTTATTACTACATATGAAATGTCAAATATGTTAATAATAGTTTAAAAGCAACTGAAATGATGAAAAAAGACTTGAAAAAATACTATAACCTTGCTAATATATCAATTCTGACATGATAAATCAAAGTAATGGGGAGATTTATCCCTTTTTATATTATTTTACCAATGAACTAACTAAAGTTAATTAGGTTTATACAGGTTGTTAAGGTTATAACTTGATAATTATTGTGATTCTAAGGTATCTTATGCTGTTGGCGGACCGTTCGACTCGGCTTCTGTTTTCATACTCATCAGAATCCAAATTTTTGCGTGGGAATATTTTTTTGGGGAATTTATTTCTTTTTTTCTGATTCTTACCCAGTTTTATACACCAGATACTTTATACCTCTTTAGATCTATAAAGTTGTAATTTTGTTAAATTCATAGAGCCAAGCTTTTTATGTTTGGATATGTGTGCAGTAGCCATTCAGTGCATTCACCTTCTGTTTTTCCATCTCTATATTGTAGTTTTATTACAAGTACAGCAGTGTGATGTTGTGGTGTAATATATCGCCTTTATACACATGAGGAATTCACAGGAAACGATGCCGCATGTAATCCAGTGTTACCACTTCTAATTTTATCTCACTGATATCAGCCTTTACTGTTTACTGTCCAGCCTCCTACACTCATATCAGAGCTCCTTTAAACTACTGCCAATGTTAACCCAATACTGAAAACTATAAAATGTCCTGCTCAGTGCATATCTGTGTTAGAACCTTCTTAAAAACAATACATGAAATTTGCAAAATTATTTATTTAATTATATATATTTTATATTTTGAAAAATTACAGGTCAATACATCAGTTTTTTTGTTGTTGTTGTTATCACAAGCAAAAATAACTCAATGTAGGAGGTCATAAGCAAAAATGATTGCAAGCCACGACTTTACCAGGCTTTTCTGAGAGCTCCTCCCAGTGAAATTTGACTGGTTTGAATAATAACAGCTCACAGTGTCATTGATCTGTCAGAAATATTCCAGATTCACATCACTTTTTGCAGATGTGGTCAATAAACTTAATAAATAAACACCCTAATGTGTGAGGTGCATCAGTGTGTATGCAGGATTTTCAGTTGCAGCAATTGATTGTGTTGGTGGTGGTTGGTTTGGGGCAAAATGATGAGCTCAGGTGCAGGGAGTGTGGTTAAAGGTTTCAGGTTGGTGCCATCAGTTGGTGGTAAATGGTGTGTTGTGTGTAATGCGGCTATCAGTGGTGCATTATGGGTAATCCATCTGCTATTGTTATGTGGTTGAGAGGGTTTTGGAGAGTTCTGGGCTGTGTTCATTGTAATCAAGGTTTAATAGCAGAATAAAGGATTTTTCAGGCTGAAATCCAATCATTTGATGGTAAAATGCCTACAGTGATGTGTAAAAACACCACGTTTACAAACCAACACCAGAGCTTAATGAAGCCACTTTAAACTCGATTAAATACAGATTTAAACCAGCAACGCAGCAGTTATGTGGTGCAAGACCTTCAATGCGCAACCGATTCGGGTTAAGAAAAATGGGTTCAAACCCAGGTTTACTACATCTCTCAGTCCCTCCAGGAATCTGTGGTCAGCGGCTCTTAGGCAGTTTCACAAACCACCACAAAGTTGCTTCTAAAAATATTCATTCTAATCAATCCAAATCTTTACACAACTAATATAACTGTGGCAGCAGATGACTTTATCTTTCTGGAACTTGTCGCCACCACTTTGTACTCAGCTTTATGCAATTACAAAACCTAAAAGAAAGAATCTTTATTACAAAGCCCAATGGCAGCATTGCATGATATGTGGTGACCTTGCGGATTAAATTTAGGGGAGAAATAAGTCACAGCTTCCAGCCCATTAGAAGCTCAGTAATTTAACTTACCTGAGTTCCAAATAAAATAACCATTTAATAACTTAAAAGGTACCATAATTGTATGTTTAACCAGTCACAGTTACCACAACTTAAGGCAATGCAACCAACAATATTAGACATTTTTTTAAAAGCCACTCTAAAGTGAACTCCACCCACTTCAGTCTTCTGGGTTCCAGTAATCACAAAAAAACTTTGAAAGATCCTGGGCAGACTGATTCTCTGCTTCTAGTCAGGTTTCTTCTGATCTCTTTCTTTTCCAGATGGGGCTGTTGAGGAGCAGGGGAGGGGCTGAGCACTGCTGTAACCTTCAGAGAGGCTGAACTGTCTCAAACTACCTCAATAACCAAATAATTAACTAACTTCCTCACTAACCCACTACCAGCAGGCTGTGTGTGAGAAGAACTAACTGGCTGTCTGTGTTTTCGTAGTGTTTCAGAGATGTCGGAGCAGTCAGAGGAGAAGCCAGTGGAGATCCTCCTGACCCTGCGGTTAGACTGACTAAACTAACCAGCAGACTAACTCACCAGCTAACTCACTCACCAGCTGACGTTGACTGAGGGACTTACAGCTTGTGTGTTTGTCCACAGTGTGTCAGAGCTGCTGGACCTGTACGAAGAGGACCCTGAGGAGATTCTCCTGAATCTTGGTTTTGGTCGAGAAGAACCCGACCTGTCCGCGAAGATCCCCTCCAGGTTCTTCAACAGCACATCTTCAGCGCGAGGCATCGACATCAAGGTACTGAGGGCAGCATTCTGAGAACAAATGTGTTATTGTAAAGCCTATGTAAGTGTTTACCTTGTTCATTATTGCAGTTAGCTCGTTAGCATGCTAACCTTTTCCTTAACCATGAAGTACAGGTGGGAATTTAACTGGTCACGTTTGGTCCTAAGCCAAAGTATATAATACATTAACATTTTGAGTTTGGCTTGAACTGAAATATCTCTACTGTTTAATGGTTTGCTACATATATTCTTGGTCCCTATAGGACCAATCAGATCTAATAGACGTATTAGCATTTATTGTCCCAAGAGGAGGATTTTTAATTTTCAATGCTGTATTTGGATCCATATTTAAATTTGTCCAGTACTTTGGTTTATAATCATAGATTGTGTATAAAGATGGAGGAACCTTCCATGACATCACCTGTAGCTTGTCTGAAGAGCAGTTTTAAAATTCGCTGTGGTGGTACAAATGCCTCTGCATGATTGACTGTCCTGTGGCAGCACCGACATGTTGCTTAAAGTGGCCACACCATTAATTATGCATAACTTTTTGCCTTTATACAATTTAAACAGATGAGTTATATAAAAATCTACCTCCTGTACAGTTATCATGAACAAGGATATTAGCAACAGAGACCACAACTGCTTTTTGTAGCAGGTCATTGCTGTAAAGTTCAGCGTTTTAACATGGGGGTCTATAGATATTAACTCACTTTTGGGGCAAGCCTCAAGTGGCCATCCTGGGAGCAGCAGTTATTGGCACTTTAGCATTACATCTCCGGAGGTTGCCACTAGGTGTGAACCTACTTATGCACTCAAACGAGCAAGTCCAATTATGGAAAGATGCCATTTGAGACATGACTCTGGGTACTCCAGAAATCCAATCATTACCAGGATACTAATACACATGTAAACACGTTCACTACATTTGTTAAACACTCACTTTGTCACTGTCTGTTAGCGTGCCAGTGTCTTGTTTTTAACTGTACGGATACGAAATCTTGCTACATTCACTCAGAAGCAAAACTTGTCAACAATTTGGAATGTATGACAGGTCACAGTGTGATGTTTTTGCTGCATTCCTTCACAGCTGTTTTTGCTTTCCTTCTGATCATAGTGTTGGACCAGTGTAGTTATAACACTGCCGGGTTAGGAAAAAGTTTTACTAATACTAGTGAAAGAAGAGACGATGTGACATTTTACACGGTGCAAATATTGCTCATTCCTCCTTTCAAAGGGCTGAGACATGGCAGCTAATACAGCCACTGTGATGGGCAAAGTTATAGTTGTGGTTAAATCTGCTGTGCTATGAATAAAACTATCTGAGCTGCAACTATTTGAACCGCTGGTGCCTCTATTCTGTGACAGATAGGCATTAGGAAAACTCCACAGTAGGTCAGGAATGCTGTGGCATCAATACAACACTCAGCTGGCAAAGCCTTGTCAGTTCAGCGCACACTGCATGCAATTAATGTTGCACTCATTATAAACCAATGTGTCACAGTTATAAACTTAACAACCAAAGTACAGCTATGGCTACAGTCAAAATCAGAGTGACAGCCTGTTCCAATGGGCCTCAGCAGCGCTTAGGGTCAGAGCTCCTCTTTCTAACTGCAGTAGCACAGACATGGAGTTGTGCTGTGGTCAGAACCAATGGCGTTCTACTATCGTAAGCCAAATAAGCCAATATTCTATCACAACATAGCTCCACCTTTATTTTATTGATCACAGAGAATGCAAACATTTTGGTGAGGGAATGCAAAAGTAGTCCAGGCAAAAATACCTCACAGTGAAACTTTTAAGACTTGTGAAACATTGCTGGCTTTATCAGTCTCTTAAAGTGAAGGCATTCAGTTATTCAGACATAGGTCGCTTTTACCTTAATTTATTGCTTTATGTGCTTTATTCAGACGCGATGTTTGTCATGCAGGTAGGATTGGACGGTCCACCCAGGGATGTGTAGTACATTTTAATGTACTAAAAAAAGCAAAAGAATAAATCTAAACTTATAGCAAGATTAGCAAACTGTCCAAATACCTGGATTTCCTAAACAGTGAAACTTCTATTTTTGCGTGATGATAATCTAACTACTACTTCACCAACGATTAAAAAAAATAAAAAATAAAAAATACAACCTGACAGCTGTGAATGACCTCAGAACTGAACCTGAGGACCGCTGCTATCTAACTAATAATTTGACAACAGCTGATAAACGGCTATGTGCAACAGTTCACCTGTCTGAGGTGAAGAAAAGTTCACAGTGTTTCCTGCCGTTAAATCCTGATTGATCCTGTTCCCATATCAGGAATCATTTATAATCAGAAGTAATTATTGAAGTTACGTCTGTTGTTCCATGTGAGTAAATGTGGACGACGTTCCTGCTTTGGAGATGCATATATGGATTGTGCTGCTCTCTCATCCTGTAGGTATTTATTAAGCATAGAAAAGACTCTTACAAACAGCTGGAATCAACAAGCTAAACTTTAGCTTATGTTAACGTTTTGTCAGAATTTTCTTTTTTTTTTTGCATTCATCATCATCGGTGAGTCTCATGAATCCTCTTGTACACTCAGTCCTCTTAGCAGTAAAGTTTTTTAATGGACATTTCACACTGAAGCCTAATAGATGTGATGTTGTAAATCAACTAAATGAGAAATGTGTTTTTTTGTGATTTAGGCACAGAAAAAGTGTCTTTCGCTCTGCCCATAATGTTTTTAAAATGTCATTGGTGCTAAATTGTGGAAAAAGCTTTCCTTAAATCGATTCACATAACTCAAACTACCGTTGCTTGTGCATGATGACATTCAGACCTGCACCGTGTTGATGTTGAAGTGGTACAGAAATGTTACTACATCCGACTTAGCAGGAGGAAACTCCGATCCACATTTTTCAAAGTTTTTCTGGCATTTTCTAGATTTTGTCATCAACCATTAAAATAACTATTACTTTCAGCCTTTAGTGAAGCTTCATCAAACCAAACTCCATTCAAAGAAGTTCCAATTTAAATCCAGATCGAGAACATTTATGAATAATTCCAGATTTTTAGCTCCAATCTGGTCTCCTCCAATAGATTTTAGAATCAAGGGGAATTATCTAATAAAAACTGTCTAAATTCAAAATGGAACTTTTTTGAATGAAGTTTGGTTTGATGATGATTCATTCAAGTGCAGCAACTAAAGATTATTTTTTTATTGTTGATGAAAACAAATTTATAAAAATGCCAGAAACGGAAAAGTGAGCAGGTTGCTTATTCACATGATCAGATGGCATCAGATTAACAGAAAGGAGTGCTGAGATGGACTTATACTGGCTGCATGGGTATTAAAAGCCTTTCTACTTGTGAAAACACACCAGATTGACTTTGTTAGAGTCTGTTTCTTGTCTTGTTGCTTTCAATAAAATATTTCTGCTGTTTCTAATAACATAACTTGTTGTGGTTCACTTGCAGGTTTACCTGGGAGCTCAGCTGCAGCGCATGGAACTGGAGAACCCCAACTACGCTTTGACGAGTACGTACCTCCACGCCATCTACACTTTCGTGTCTGTTCTAGTGTTTGTGTGTTTACGTCCTCAACAGCCGAACACCTCAGTCTTGCCGGTGGAGGGTTAACCATGTTAGTGATGAGAAGCTCAGAGGTTCACGTCCTGAAACTGTAGACGGAGGAAGTGAAGCTCGGCGACTGAGTGTGTGTCCTGTTCCCAGTATTTATGTGGGGTTTTGTGGGGTCCTCCAGCTTTTTTAGCTGTTCTGCCAACTGCCTGGACAACACTGCCAGGAAGGACAAAGATCTGTTTGTCCCGGAGACACACACACACACTCACAGACCTGCTCCGCTAACATCCTGGCCCCTTTTTGTTTTCAAACTCGTGTTTGCATGAAGGTACTGGCTCGCTAATTCAGCACACACACAGCTGATTCTCTTCTTCTTGACAGTTTAACAGTCTTGCTGCTGTAAAAAGGGTTTTGCCAAAGATCCTGTGTGTGTAAGACGATGATTGCTCCATAGCTGAAACTACTTCAGTACAGGTTGATTTTATACCTCAAAGGCTGTTCGGTCAGTTTGAAGCATCACTAGTTGCAGTTTTTTTTTGTGGTAAACAAGATGGCATATGACTGTTGTTTAGTCAAAGCTTTTAAACATTTACGTTTAAACACAAATAAGAGGACTAGAATTTTTCTCTATACCCTTCTGGCCTGTAGCTTTTCTTTAACATTGTTGAGTGTAGTAGTTTTAGTTGTTTTTTTGCCACGTCCATGAGTTTTCCAAATCTCTCCAAGACCAACTTAAGCCCTGCCTGTTATTTTCATTTCTTCTATTTCTGTTTTTACCTCTTAGCTTGCAGTTTCTGTTGCTGGCTGTAGTAGATATGTATTTAAAAGTAGTTGTTCTGATTGGTTCACACAGTGTACTGTACATTTAGTAAAGTTGCGAGCACATATTCACATTTTTGAGGAGGTCATGTAACATGAACCCACCACACACACTGCACATAACTGATAAAAAAAAAGAACATTTTTGGCTACTAGCTACATGCAACTTTCAAGAGCTCTGAAATTGACCGATCAGCGAATAATAAAGGCTTTAGTGTTATTTAGATTATTATCTACATTCTGCACAAAACATTTTGTCAGTCTACATTGTGATTGTAAACACAAATGTAATGCTCTTCCACCGGCTATAGACTCTATAATACACAGTATTGAGCAAAAGTAAAAGTTTTCAAAAAATAACGCCATAAATCATTTCATTCAACTTTACTGAAAGGAAATAATTTACATATTGAGTCTCCACTGCGACTCTGTTTCAGATGAAGAAAGACAACCAGCTAAGGCCAGAGTTGTGCTGAAGTCTGACTGCAGCAATGGCTATAAAAGAAGTCAGTTCTTCACCCTCTCTGTCATATTGTGAAACTAGTGAGATATTTGTCATCACAAGCAGATGTCAATTTATAAAAAAAAAAAACCCAGCACATTCCTACTCAAAGTCGAGACAGAACATTAACCCTCTGAACCCCACAACCCCACTGCTGGGTTGGAAAGGCAAGTTATACTTAAACAATCAGCAAAATGAAATAATTTATTAAAGCCATAAGCTTAAAAAAATAGAAACAATTGTAGAATTTTTAACTTTCTGATTGTCCTTGAACTACTCATCTGTGATGTCCCGCTGTGTCAGAAAACGCAAGTAGATCTAAGCTTAAAGTCATGATATTTCATCAGAACCACTTTATTCTATCTAGTCCTTTCATTAAAATTACTTAAAAAAAATAATGTATTTGCGCTATATAGATTCTGAACAAAACAAAGAATTCTGTGCTTCTCAGTGCAATGAATGAATGAAGCCATTAGTGGCTCAGCTGCAACCAACAGTTGCGTGAGAAGAATTCAGGAACTTTTCCCCTGAATGGGGCTGAACTGCAGGCCGTGTTTACACAGAGCAGATAAGAGACAAGTATGGAAACACATTAAAAACGTAAGTAGTAAAAGTCCATAGTATGTAGAGGCCCTATTTTCTCTCATTGTTAATCTGTGGGCACATGGAACAATGTTAATTTCTTTTTCAGTTTTGGGAAAATAAATGATTGTAGAAATTTAGCTTCATATTTTTTAAATCTGTCATAAAGGTGCAGAACTTTATATTGCAGAGAAAATGAGTAAAAATGTGACGGGAGCAAATAACTGCTTTTGGTTTAGAGGGTTGAAAGACAAAAGAAACGCAAAAAAAAAAACATGTATTCTGGCTGCAAATGTATTGTTTAATCATTGTGCCCGAATACTTAAAACAGCCACAATTAAAGCCAGAATAAAGTCATGATGTGACTGTGAGTGGCAGACACAACAAACTGATTTCTCACCAGTCTCTTCATTTGTTCAGGATTCAGGTTGTTCCGTTGGTCAAAGGTCACAGACATATTAACCTGGATGCTGGAATTCTAAAACAAACGGAGTGAAGCAGAGCATTATGAACACTGAACGCAGGTGTGGCTGCTCGCACATACATATTGTTTCCATCTGCTTATCTCAGTATCGACCTAATTTACTTGTTATCTCCACATAACGACTAAATGAGTCACAAGCTGTTTGGTGGCACAACCATTGAAGCTTAATGACTCAACTGAGTCAGCAGAAGAGCAGAGGGGACAACATTTCGTGGAAGCAAAGTCTGGTGGGCAGAAAAACAACTCATGATGGCAAAAATCTAGTGAATGAATACACGTGGAAAGACTTCGATGAGAGAAAGTGGAAGAGGAGCTTGTTTACTGTGAGAATGTGAAACATATATAAAAGCATGTATTTTACACGGCACCAACAAATAGACAAATCATAGACATTAATCATTTTTGTTTTAGTGGCTTCTTGAAAGCATCATCATAGATCATTTAAACGATGATGCTTATGCAACTAGAAAGTCATGCTCACATATTAACTTTCTACCTCTGCTATATTCCAGGAAAGGATGTCTTGTTTTGTCATGTTTGTTCCATTTATACATAATCGCCATGATTCATAGCATCTGTGTGGGCTGGAATCTCGACTAATATGGTGATATTGTATTTCTAGTGTTCGAATATTGAATTTGTCTCCAATTAACAGACAAATTCAATAATGTGCTTCCTGTTTTGTTGTGTTCTCCAGTCGCCTTGATCGAGTTGTTGTGCTTCTTCGGCCTGAAATAGCGATGCATTGTGTTTGGAGAAAAGGATTATTTATTGTTTGAGTGCACTTTATATGCAGCACATTCAGTATACAGACTGTCGCGGCGCTCTCGCACATTGTCCATAGCCTGTGATCACTCTGATCTGTGTTTATTTATTACCCACATCGGAAACATGATCACTATTTCGGGGCTGGGCGCAGGGAAATTTAGTTATGTAAGCATTCTGTGCCTTAATTTGTGACACCACAGGACATAAATAAACACACAAAGAGCATTCAAATTATGTGTGACTAATTTCAGCAAAGCTCAACCTCCCACCGTGTTTAATGATGCAAATGAACCAGGAGCAGGTCACGCAATGTTTTTACTGCTTTTTATGTATGTACGTGTGGTCTCATAAAGACAGAAGTGATTCTTGGCATTATTAGTATTATTGGATTGAATCAGCTGCTGGTTATGAATAGTGACAAATAGGTAGCGATTGGATGAAGGAGGCTGACCATAAATATACACTGATGGGTTACAAGCTTAACACGCCACCTTTCATGCTGCTTTTGAGCCGCTCAGCAAGAAAAGTCTCCACACACGTGTTAACATGGTTACCAAATGATTTTACATGATCATACTGATTGTTTTTACAGATATCTTCTAGTAAGATTGCTTTCGGAGAACAGCAAATGGATTTAAAAATATTTTGAAATAATGTTAAGTGGTCTGTGTCGGTTTTGTAATGCACACTAGCGTTTTCTTTAAAGCTTTCAAACGAGTCAAAATCAACCATAATTAGACAAGTTAGGTTTAAGGATACTATAAGACTGTACCAGGATTAAGCAGCAGTGTTAAAAGTTCTGCCAGAAGTTGGATTGTAAAAGATTTTAAACAGTGGCTTGTCAGCTTCAAACATTCTGGATTTCTTTCTGACCTAATTTAAGTTTGTAAATGATGTATATATCGCTCAAAAACAAACCAGTTTTTGCAGCATGGTGTCTAAACACACCTGAAGGCAAAAGCCGGCCGTCACTGAAAAAGACGAAACTTGGTGAAATTGCTGGAGGGGAGAATTAAGGATTTGGATTCTTTTGCACACATGAAGACTAATGAAATTTTTGTGAGGAATGAAAATAGAGAGATTTAGAAACTCTGGTGTCTCATTTCTACATACCTGAATAATCGCTGCATGACTCTCTAAATCCCGTGCTGCTTCTGGGCATTTTTTTGCTCCTGTCACACTTTTATTCTCTGTGGGCTCAATTTTCACTACAAATATAAAGTCCTGCACATCAACAGAAAGAGCACAATCATGGTTAGAAGTAGAGAGAACTCGAAAATGTGTTCTGTGCAATTGCAGTGCCTTAAATCATACAAACTTTAAAAATTGAAGTTGATTTTATTTGTTTTATTTTACAAAAAAAAAAACTAAACAAAACTAGCATCAGTGTGTACAAAATATTTCTGAGTGGCCACAGATGTTACCCATACTGGAAAGAAATCTTTGCTATATATAGATATCGTATATTTTGCATTTTGAATTAGTTTCCGTAGTTGTCTGTTCTTTGCTCTGCATTAACACAGTCGTTAGTTTAGTTGCAGTTCAATGGAAAAGTCCCCGAATTTTTCTCATGTGACTGTTGGTCACAGCTAAGTCACTAACAACTTCCCCGCTTATACCCAGGAGCCCAGAATTTTTTGTGTTACACAATTCTGTCAGGGCAAATAGTCCATTTTTGGTAAATGTTTAAATGAAGCATGTAGAAAAAAGGATTTTTGATTAAATATTGCAATTTTAGACGTAGATTTGCTTTAGTTTTCCAATAGAACAATATGTCACACGAGTACCTCAAAGAACGTTA